GGGGCAAGGAACACTGCACCCTGCACCCAGAGGACGACTCCCGGCGAGCGTCATAAGTGGTTTGGCTCGCCCACAAGAGCGGCAAAGTCAAATGCAAATTGAAATGCACGAAGGGCAGGAGAGTTCTACAGAATGGCAAGACAATGCTACCGTTGCCCATTCAGCAAGGACATCCATCCCAGTACAGGACCGATGTTGTCTGCAAAGCCTTTTCACACTTGGTTATGCGTTGTGACCTCTCAATGGATGGATGCAAAGGATCTGTAAAAGAAACAGTAGGATGCTGGCCATTGAAATGGGCCTGGGCGACGCAAATCTGTCGCCCGAGGTGCAATTATGATTGAAAGGTCTCAATAATAACCGATAAATTCATGTTTACCTAACGCACCCGGTTTTCTGGTCAGCTGTCAAGTGCTGGGTTTGCGTCCATCTATGTACCTCTGCTCTGCCCATTCCCCGGTGATGAATGAATGGCAAATCCTTGAATGGCCTTGGATGACTGATGAACGCAACAGAGTCAGTCTGAACTGAATTGGAGTGAAGTGTCCTTTATCTACGGACTTACTACGTAGGTGTACCACTGCCGATGATGATGATCAACCTGGCTAACGCCGAGTCCCGGCCCACGTCCTCTGAGGGCCTTGCAATTGTTGGGATTGCAAAATATTGCACTCAATTTGATCGATCGGCCATCGGCCGTACCAAAAAAAAAAAGAAGCAGAAAATAATCAAAAAATGTTCCAAAAAATGTCATTTTATCACAAAAAAGATGATACTTCATAATTGTGAGTGCTTTGGAATGGGATTGATTGATAACTGCACCATATTGTGCACAATAAAATTGGTTACACAAAAAAGTCACTAACAGATGATACGGGTTTTATCTAAATCTATTGTTTATTAAACTTTCATATACTATGAAAACTATAAAAAGATTTACAAATACTGTTGTACAACAAGAACAACAATAGGTGTAGGAGGTTACTACCTATTCATTTTAAGTAACCTTAAAATATATTAAGGCATTAAAAAGAAGGCATTAGGAATTTCATTCAGAAAATCTTAATCTCTGATTCTAATTGGACTTAATACATTTAAAAATAATTATCTACTCTTTCCTAATATTTTCCTGTTCACTTTCATTTACTCAAGGGCAAGAAAGTTTATGTATATTAACCTGATTATGATTTTCATACCTCTGAAGGAAGGGTATTCTAATCTTAGTCAGAAGCATGCAACGTAGTGAAGTCATTTCCAACCCTATAACATATATATATTCTTGATCAGCATTAACAGCCGAATCGAAGTAACCATGTCCGGTCAACAAATAAATTTTTTAATTTTTTTTCAAAATTTCAAAATTTTATAAGGGGTTACATCATAAAATTGTCAAAAATTGGCAAAATTTTAAATTTTAAATTGAGTATGCAGATTTTTAAACCTAAGAAAAACTAGCATAAATATGCTTTCCGAATCGAAATTAATGCTTTTTTGGCTTAGTTATGAACATTTTAAACTTGTTTTTATTGCTACCAAAACTCTCTCTTTTTCTGAAAGATCTCAGACAGATCATAAAACCAAAAGATACTTATACAATTTATGATAATTTTAAACATGTTTTCCTGATGTAACCCAAATCGATTTCCAATCAGATCGTTCCCGCGCCCCTTTGTAACCCTCAGATCCATGCCAAAGTATGTGTCTGTGCGGATAACCGCAAAAACTAGTATAAATTGACATCATAAATTTAAATTACTTCCACCCTTCTTCACCTAGGCGCTCCAAGCCCAGACCCATAGACCATGGCCCAATCCCAAACCCAAATCCAGCCCTGTGGGTTTGCTGGGCTCTGGCTGTTAGGGGGTTGGACCCGGGGTTGGTTGGTAAACCCAAATGCCGGGATGATGGTCGAGTCCGCGGTGGAAACGCTATAGGGACGGGGAGCGAAGGATGAGCGAAAGAGCAAAAAGGGGCGAGGACGCAGCCATCAACACGATTATTTCGCATAAAATAAATTGATTCCAGCTAAGAGTCAAGCATGTCCTTTGATGCCACGAAATAGAAATAGACAAAACGCAAACAGCGCTTGAAAAATGTCGAAATTTGTCCACAATAAGTTCTTTATTGAGTCGCCATACACAATGGATTGCCTCATCCCCCTTCCCATTTCCACTCCCATTCCCATTCCCTTACCCGATCCTGTTCTCATCTCCGCCATAAACCACGGCCCAGCCACTCGATGAACCAAAAACCAACAGAACAATGGGACAATAGAACTCGGGACGGTAAAACTGTGGCACGTCTTCGCCTTGGACTGCACATCTCTCGCCTTGAGGGGCTGTCCCGACACCTTTGGCTGACACCTTCCCTCGTCCTCATCCTCATCCTCGTCCTTGTCCCATTCTCTGAATAGAAAGTGAAATATGAATAATGACAAGCGAGCCAATTTCGGGCAGTTGCGTCAAAAGGAGAGTCAACTCGGCTGCCGCTCCTCCATTGTGACCTTTTCGGGACCTTTTGTGTGCGAGTTCGTTCGGCATCTACGGCAATGTGGCATCTACTCCTGCGTCCTGCGGTCGCCAATGTGGCTAGCAGCTCCTGGCCCTATTAGCTCCTGCGGCAGACACTGGGCCGCCGCTTAAATTGAGCGTGCGCAATCGATTAGCAGACGCATCTTCGTCACCGCATTCGCATTTAGTTTATAAACTAATTCGAAACTGGGTAGACCCGTGAAGTCATTGAGAGTCACTTCATTCATGGCAAGGACCATAAAGGATAAAGTGGAATTGGCCGTGCGTTATGGTATGTGTTCCTTTTAAACGCCCAAGATCAGCTAATTGATTTGGTAAGAACCGCCGAAGTGGTTAGCTTGCTTGGTTATACTTGAAGAAATACTTTAACACTTCCATAAATCTTAGGAAAATATTTTCATGTGAAGCTGAAAAATGTTCTAGATATATCTTATTTAAATTTATACTTCAGTAATCACAGCTAAAGCCTCATAGCTGTGATTACATACTTGATCGGCTTAAAACTTCATAAAAGTAAATGCTGTTAAGAAATATATATTCTCTTTAATTTTAATTCAAAGGAGCATTCTGAGTAAAGATTCGATTATGAGTCTTTTAGCCACCAAATCTGCAAAATGGAAAGTCATTGTCAAAATCGGCGGTGATAAATAAAACAATATTCCCTATAATACCTTAGATATAAGTTGAACAAAGCAACTAAAGAGCGTAGGCTGGCTCAGCTCCTGGAATCCGTGAATCAAAGTCATACTTCTGCGTTATCCTGTCAACAGGAGCCGCTGCTCTTCCAGGAAAAGGCGACAATTCCTCGGGTTTCGCAGACATGCTGTCGTCAATGATGCCGAACATGTCCTCTGATATGCCGACTAATAATTGAGCCATTTAACCTGTTACAATTGGCAGGAGAGTCGAGACGATAGGCCGTCATATTTCTTGGCTCAGCCCGGCTTGAGAGTCTCTCACCAGAGCGCTCCCATTAATTAGCCGAATTGTCCATTTGTAAGGTGTCAACAGGTAAATTCGTCATTGTGAGTGAGAGACGACGATCCTAGTGGAATGGGACAGTGAGTCCTTCACGAGGTGTCTTTGTTTTTGCAAGGGGCTGGCAGGACCGGCGGCTAGTTCTAAGGATGCGGCATGTAGCAATGTCACGTTGCACATCACAGATGCCGATCTGGTGTCGCCCCGCCACAATCAAAAGGATAATGTGGCAAAATCCAGACAATCGTTTCGTCCTCGGCGGCACTTCAAATGCGACGTTTGTTTGCTGTTTGTCCAAACCAATCAATGCACTTGACTCTAGCCGGGGTTGAGGGAGGGCGCAAATAAATAATAATCAAACAAATATCGATCCCTGGCGATTTTTCAAGGCAATTCTATGGATCCCTAAATAGCTTACAATTGAATTTCAAAGCCCATAGCTATACGGCTTTTCTCTTTTTTTTTGGTTAGATTCATCAGGTGTGTTAATTTAGACATATAGTTCACCTGTTTAGATGTCTCAGGGAATTTATTTTTTTTTAAGAAACAGATAATTGCATTAAAGTGTCAACTACTTATAGAAAGAAAAATAGAAAAGGTAAAGAAAGCTCGCTTCTGTTAAAAATAACCTTAAAATTGTGTATAAGAATAAATCAAGGAGGAAATTGCCTTCCCTTTTTACGCTAAGAACTCACCAGCCAGGTGACATTCAAAGCTCAGTCGGTTAGCCAAGTTAACACATGATATGCGTAAACTTAACCCAGTTTCTGGCCTTGCTTCGAAAAGCCGTCCACAGATGGCGCTGAAAGGGGCAGCAGGCGTCAATGCCACCCACTGTTCGGACTCGCTCGCACTCACAGCACACAGCAAAGCGGCAGCAGCAGCACTTGGCAGGCGTCGCACTTTCACATTTCCGGCCAAAGCGCTCGGCTGTGGTGGATTTCCGCCGATGGACACACGAGGCGCCATCGGGGGCTCCATCCGATCCGTGTTCCATGCGAAGTTGTGTGCGGCAGACGCGACGACGCTGCATCAGTTCGCGCTCAACCATCGTCGTCGTCAGTGGAGAACCACAGTTCAGCCCGTTCCCGGTCCGCGCACATACACTCGCCCACACAAGAGACACCACAGATAAGAGTCCCATCCAGAGGAGGAAAAGCTGTGGCAGGCCCTAAATAAATGATCCGCTAAAGAGTTAAACGAGTGACAACGCGTACTGGAGAACTAGTGCAGTGCCTTGGTGGCCTGAAAGTGACGTGAAAACTCTCTCCTCTCCTACGATTTGCTCACATGTGCGTGCCCAATGCAACCGTTTTCTTCTGTATCTGTTTTCCGCAAGAACCCAGCCACCGACAGTGATTAACGCAACCCGGGGGCCCCCGAGTCCGGCCAGCTTCCAGAGGCGTAATTAGTGAGGATTGCCAAGTGAAAGGATAGCCAGCAGCAGCAGCAGCAGCAGGAGCAGCAACAGCAGCAGGACCAGCAGCAGCAACCCCAGTGAAAATGGTAAAAAGTGATTATGAAATGGATGCAAATGCTGGCTCAGGTGCAAGTGAAGGTGCTGTCCTAATCAGATGAGGGACTCATCCCTTTTAGGCTGTCAAGCTGGCTAAGTCGCAAGTCAATTGCCAGCACTAGTACCGTTCTGTGTCGCTTTTCCAAGCCCCATTGTTTTGCGCCGCCGAGAAAGAAAACACGAGCGCGGCGGCGTATGATGTAAGCCGAGCCCAACCACCCAAGCAAAGTCCTCTCCTTCCTTCCTCATCTATTTAGTTAGCGCAGCCATTTATTTTTATAAGATGCAGCCTCATTGACGCCGTCATCGTGGCTTGCCACCACCAGTCCCCAGTCCTTTCGTCCTTCGTCCTGGCCCTTGCCGCTCCAACAGCTCAGCAGCATCATCAGCAACAACAACAACAACAACTGTAACTAACAGCAAAAGTCAAGCGAAAAACACTACACCAACAACCTTACCCAACAGCGCGTAAGAGTGCACTGAGAGAAAAGAAATGCAAAGCTTTTAATGCCCTAAATTGAGAGAAATTAACTAAGAACCTTGCTTTTCTAATCCGTTTTCGGAATATATTTAATACTTGAAAAAAGAAAGCAGTTTCTAACAGCAGTTTGCTAACCTTATCACGCTTCAAATATAGAAAAGAGAGATACAAATTTAATTTGTGCTGTGCACCCTCAAAAACCCCAGTTAATGAAAATACTTACTCAAAGTAAACGTTGGTAACAACATAGAAACCAACTTTCTTTGAGTGTAAAAGCTGTGTGGGGAAAATGGTGTGGGGGAAGGGGGCGTAACTGTAAATCGATATTGTGCGGCATGACCGAGTGGCCCACAAGGCGGGCAGGCGCTTGTCTTTGGGGAAAGAAGAGAGAGAGAGCTGTAGCGCCACCCGCTGTGTGGTGGCTTTGTTAGTCACTCAGTCAGCCAGACGCCGACTTGGCCACCAACTCTCCCTTGCCTCCCCAACCCCCCAAAACGATGCTCCTCGTGTCCCAGCGCCGTTTGTATTTTGTGGTGAAAAACCCCCACTTGCTCTCGCCCGTTCCCCTTCGCTCGCTCTCAGTCTCTCCGCCTCTCGATTGATTCAAATTTGCGCTGTTATCACACCAGCCCCAGCACCAGCAACAACAATAATGGCAACAAAAATTGCCAATAACAAAGAAATGTGTCTCGAATTTATTCTAAAGACATTCTGTTGCTTGTGCGGCACGAAGGAGCCGCCGCCGCCCCACGCTGTCCATGATGTCATATGGTAAATGTTTGCAAATCGGAGAGACACAATTCATCAGAGTTATGTTCCCATTCCCATTCCTGCCAGTACAAACCGACTTCCTTGACCTTCGGATCTGGCTCAGTGTTGTTTACGTATCGCTTATCACTTGGGGTTTGTTGCTCCAACATACATAGGTGCCCGTAGCCCTCTAATTGCGGACCCCATAGATCTTCTATGTCTAGTACAAGTCGGGTTTGTTAAAGAGATTAAAACAAGAAGGAATTGACTTAAAGTCAATGCGAATTCATATAATATCTAAGACAGAATATTTTAAATAAATAACAGTATAAACTTTAAATGTGCAAATTCCTTAGCAATCTTTGTGCATAGATTAAAAATGGATACAATGATACACCGATAATACTCCATATACTCCCAGAAATTATTTTCCTCTTATTTTTGAGGCCAAGAGTTCCAAGAATTTTAAGTCAATCTGAGTCTGGGATGTTATGTTATTCGAAACAGAGGTGAATTAACAATGATATTTCTATTGAAAACGATATAAAAACAATATCAATATAGAAAATTAAAAGCTAAAAGATGTAGCTTTGTGTTTCTCTCAGTGATTAAGAGTTGGCAGACATTTGGCATTCTTGATTTCCTTGAGTGCACCTGCCGTGTACAAAGTAACCGGATTGAATATCCATCATTCAATATCAATCGAATATATTGGGGTTGAAAGATTGGCAAACTATTGGAAGCGAAGCATGGACTATTGCAATACTGAAAATCTATATTTAATAAATACATAGATAGCTAAAGCCAAAGCAAAGATATAGACCAGTAAACTTTTTTTCACAAATATTCTTTTATTTAAATGATTAGTTCTTGCTCCCCTGTACTTCAAGCGAGTATATAAAAGTTTTCCCGGTTAAGCTGCCACTGAACCCTGAGTAAATAGATGACTTTGTTTTTCTGGCTGGCTTTTACTGCACTTTGGTTGTAGCTGAAGCCTGATATCGGGTTTCCACTGCCAAGCAGACAAAGCCGGCCACCACAAAGCCAACCCACCCAATCCCATATAATAAGCTTGCATTTCTTAGCCCAGGCGGTTATTTCCCTCAGGTCCATTCGCCTAAGCTTGTGCACAGGGAGAAATTCAGAAGTAGGAACATTTTCAAAAGCGTACAATTTCTTTTCCCAGATTGTTCGACGCCGATCTCGCCGCGCCCGCATGTGGAACATGGGGCTGCTGTTCCTCATCTACTACTGCGTCAGCATCTACTCCGCCAAGGGTGACACAAAGGAGGCCTCCCTGCCCCTGGATGTGGGCAGCCTGGCCGAGGATGCCGGCGATGCGGAGGCCAACGGTGAAGTGCCCGCAGAGCTTCCCGCCGAAGGCAACACTGAGGGCAGCACTGTGCTGGAGACCACTCCATGGCCAGAGGTGATTAGTAACCTCCTAGGCCTAACCGAAATCTTCTAAATCCCTTTCTTTGCCCATCACAGGCCACCACGAAGGCCACTCCCATTCATGGAGCTGTCCCCACCTGGCGACCCAAGCGTGACAACTGCACGCCGCCGGCCATCGAGCAGTTCCCGCAGCCGTTGATGAACAAGTGGGCGCGGCGGCATGGTGGTCTCATCCTGCACATCCTGGTGGCCGTCTTCACCTTCTTCGGCCTGGCCATTGTGTGCGACGAGTACTTTGTGGCCAGCCTGGACCGGCTATGCGAGGGTAAGCTTTATTCAGAGATCCTGGATTTGGAAAACCATTACCAATCAATATTCCATTTGCAGAGCTCAAGCTGTCACCGGATGTGGCGGGGGCCACGTTCATGGCGGCCGGAAGTTCGGCTCCGGAGCTGGCCACCGTGGTGATTGGCGTGTTCTTCGCCAAGGACGACATCGGCATCAGCGGAGTCATCGGCTCGGCCGTATTTAACATCATGTTTGTGATCTCCGTCTGCGCTTTGTGCTCGGGCACAGTCTGCCAACTGAACTGGTGGCCCTTGGTGCGGGATTGCTTCTTTTACTGTGTCTCCATTCTGGTAATGCTGATAATCATCTTCAACGATGTCATATCCTGTGTAAGTTTCCTGGTGCCCGAACCAAAATCCACAGATCCTCATTCGATTCTTCTTGTTCTCCTTTTAGTTTGAGTCTGTGGTGATGCTGCTGTGCTACGTGGGTTACTGTGTGGCCCTTCACTTCAACACGGAGCTGGAACGGTGGGCCCTGAGCCTAAACCTGCCCTTCAAGCTGCCCAGCAAGGAGGAGCAGTCGGCCCTAGTGACCTACAAGAATGTACCGGAGAGCTCTTACACTCAGGGCGGTGCTGGCCAGGGACAGCAGCAGACAAGCCTGTCCAAAGATCCTAATGAGGGCCGTGCTGCAGAGCCACAGAACGAGTACCAGAACTACAGCGACCCCAATGCCAGTTGGGACCCGAACTCCGCCTGGGGAGAGGAGAGCCAGCCGAAGCCGGTGGTCAGTGCTAGATTCAACCCGCCGCCGGTCGACGACTGGGGCACCAGCCAGTTTGGTCAGGATCAGGGGCAGGAGAACATGGGCTATAATGCCGACCAGCCAGAGTCAGTGGTTACCGGAGAGACGGCGGCAGCGGCACCCAAGAGCGGTGGAGCCCAGGTGGTGGCACAAGCAGCGCCCGGTGGTGTTGACTACTACAAATCGACGGACAAGCAACGTGAGCAGCGTCCTGATCCCCTGATCCGACCCACGGAGGGCGGTCTGCCAGCACTGGTCTCCTGGTACGTGGTCTATCCGATCCACTTCCTCTGCAAAAAGACGATGCCCGACTGCCGGCAGGAGCAGTATCGTAACTGGTATCCCTTCACCTTCCTGATCTCGATGGTGTGGATATCGTTCTACTCGTACTTCATGGTCTGGATGATCACCGTGATTGGGTCCACGTTGGCCATTCCGGACACCGTGATGGGTCTGACGTTTGTGGCCGCTGGCGTGTCCGTCCCGGATGCCCTAAGCTCAATAGCCGTTATCAAAGAGGGCTTCGGCGACATGGCCGTGTCGAACGCGATTGGCTCGAATGTCTTTGATATACTAGTGTGCTTAGGTCTTCCCTGGTTTATACAAACGGCCATCATAAAGCCCGGCTCCCACGTCAACGTAATATCCAAGGGTATGTATATCCTCCACTACCACCCACCTAGCTCCCGTAGCTGCCTGTGTGTCCATCTAACTCGTAGTACTGCTCGTCGTGTGTCCAAAGTGTGTGGTATGCCTGGCATGAGTGTCCTAGACGTTATCCGTTAGCTGAAGTCCAGAATCCACGTCAAGTCTAATCTCTGAGCCTTCTTTTTCTTCCTATTTCTGTGTCTCTTTTTCTTTCCGGGATTTCCCTTGCAGGACTGGCCTACTCCACGCTGTCGCTCTTCTCCACCGTGGTCTTCTTGATCCTGTCAACGCATTTGAACGGATGGAAGCTGGACAAGCGACTGGGCATCATCCTGATGGTTTGGTACCTGTTCTTCATCACGCTGGCGTCGCTCTACGAATTGAATGTCTTTGGCTACATGAACCCACCCGAGTGTGCCAGTGAGTGTCCTCTAAACAATCATCTCCGATCGATCAGTATTACTGGTTATTTGTTTCCTTTTAAGGCGATTACTAAGCACCCCGACGATGACCGAAACGCACTTATGTTTTCACTACCAGCACCAAGTACCATATATACATAGATCAGGGATGCCCTAGCCGGACACCTTGAGGCTCCATCACTGAAAACAAACGAGAGGATGGGATATAGGGCATCCCTGTTATAGATAAATAACATATAGAGTCGTTCATAGCCGCATCTAAAAGATAAACCGAAATCACTGCAACAATTCGACCGAAGGATGGATGAGTTTGGGTACCATTTACCTAACGTTAATTAGAGGACAAAATGAATACTCAAAGCGCGTTTTACATGAATTTTTACATTGCACCAAGAGACATAGGAGACGATAAACCAAAAATGATAAATTATATAAATGTACATGTATATTATATTTATTAATATGTATTTAAATGATATTTAGGCAATTAACAAACTATATATGTATGTACAACAAGAGGAGGAGTATACATAAAGCATAAATAGCAACTGTAGATAGGGAGACAAATGTATGTTATAAATAAGAACAACAACAACAATAAATTAGCGATTGTTGCTAATGGTTTTAAGGAACAAGTCAACAAAAGAACAACGCAAGATGTCCCACACACACACACACCACACACCACAATCGCAAACCTTTGCGATTTGAAAAAATACCTTGTTTGATCGCAATTATGTATATACTTTCGTATCACACCGCTTTCTTAACGAATCGATTAATTATAGACTTTAGTTGTACGTACCTGTACCTGTAAAAAGAACCCTATATGGTTTACCAAGACACCAGGACACTAGCAGCTTCCGGTAAAGACTCCGCCCGGCAGGCCAAGTTGACCAGCAGATCGAATATCGAATGGCAGACCAGATGTGGAACCAGAACAACGAATTTTGTTGAATTTAAGATTGGATATATTTTACTTTAGTTTTTTTGTAAGAAGGTACAGAAGCATATATATTTTGTTATATATTAATCATACGATACAGCCGATGATTTAACGAAACGTCCTAGGTTTTGCAATGACACAAGGATATGGAAAACGATAGAAATACGACAGTGAGTGCAAAGAAATTATACCTAATGGCAATTAATCGCGTCAATTTTGTATTGTAAATAATAACCAGAGAGCATAAAGCATACATTATGTTATGAAACGAATAGTAAAAACTAAAAGTCAATTTGTGGTGCAATTTAATAGTGCATAATTGGCACATCTCTCAATCTAGTTTCTTATTACATTTTACGGAACTCTCCTGAACAAATATTTTATTTACAGGTTTCGAATATTTATCTAGTGAATTTAAAAAGAGAATTTAATGAAAGAAAAACTTGCCATAATTTCCTTATATCTAAATGTTTGCATTAAATAGGAAACCCTCTTCTGAGTTTACAATAATTGTTTGCTTAATCTAGCTTAAAATATGTAACCCAATTAAAGGGTACTTAATTAATCTGTCAGAGTTTGAACCACCTGAAGAAAGTAAAATCAAATGATGCTATATATGTTCATTTAATCAAAACTAAAAGTGAAAACAATTAAATCTAGTTAATGCTTTAAAATTTATGTTTATTGAGCAAGTTAATGCACACGAACACACGATCTCGTTAGCCGTTGGCCCAGATATCAATACATTTTGGCCATACCAGCAAACTCAATTCGGACCGATTCCAACTGACTTTCCTACATTTACGGAAGGCTAAAGATGGATGGGCACAGAATCAGTATCAGATGTTAGCTGAAAGCAATTCGTAAGACAAATATATACACCTAATATATACATACATACATATAGCCCACAGATGCAAATCATACTTACGTAGTGAGCCATGCACTGCTATATGGAAGCGCTCAAATCATAGTCAAATACTAACATACACATATTACACAATGATCAGGATCAAGGATATTGCTTAAGCTTGTTGAAGGAGCCGAATCGAAATGAAACGAAACGAAACGTAATGAAACCCATGTAACTGACTTATATAATTTACCAAGCCAACTTCCTGATACGAGTTAATCGCATACCTAAACCAACGTTCCACAATAAATCGTACGAACAATCGCCTCTTGAAGATCCCACTTAGAGAACCCATATAGCTTATATTGAATACTATCTATACACAGAGGTACATACTACGAGGTTCTTCCCTACTCAACAAATAGTCGATCCAGTAGGGTTTTCGCAGAAAAGAACAAACTGTCTGTCGATGTACAATGCACACTCTTCCGCAGGACATGCTGCTCCCTCTGTCAAAACCGAATCCCGTGGATCGCAAGATACTCCATTACTGTACAATAAATAAACAAAACTATAGTTGAGGACGCTCTAGCTGTTTTAATTAAAAACTTCAATTAGCGTTTCAATTACTCAAGAGAGATTAGTCGTTAATTAAGCCGTTGAACCGTTACGATCGATACGTGTACATGGAAGTCAGTGTTTGATTGAAATTATTTTGAAGGTACACCCCTCGAGAGATTTAAATCCAGTATATTTCGTGTTACTTTTAACTGTATCTAATGCAAAATTGCAATCTATAAGAGAAATATATACGAGTATGTGTAGGTCATTTATTTATTGATGAGGATCATGTTTACCTAAGCATAGAGGGGCAAGGAGGACACAAAACAAAACAAAATGAAACGAAACACTTATATATATGATGGAACGACTTTCCCTAAACAACATATGCAATGTACAATAATTGTTACATTTACTTACATACTATCTAAAACATGCTATACAATAAACGATACAATATATGTTTACATCTGACATTTGTGTTAATTACGACTATAATTGTTTGCAAAAACTATATTAAAACCTATCAAGTTAAATCAAAATGTGGAGGAGTGTGTTTCAAATTCCAATTCGGAGCGACAACCGGAAACTTATTATTGGTGGGATCGAAACTAAAAACATCAAGTTACAAACGAAACTATTCCCAATACACAAAACTGTTGTTATATTTAGTCAAATAATGAATTCCGAAATGAATAAATGCATAAATATACACAAGAAATCTGCAATTCATTTTTTTTTTTTTAATTTTATAATTTTAGTGAGAAGCTTGCCAAACAGTGAAGGAGTCATTTCAGACCATATCATATCAACAGTATCAACAGCCGAATCGAACTAGCTATGTCCGGCAAAAAGGTAATTTTTACGAAATTTTGAAAATTATATAAGTGGTTACATCGATAAAATCTGTACAATTTCAAGAAAAACACAACATTTTAAAATTAAAAATTAAATATGCAGGGTTCCCCAAAATAGCTTCTTTTCTTGTTTATCTTTTCATTGTTCAAATCTAAAAAGTAGTTTATGTATTAAGTATTTAAGTATTTAAAGGCTTTAAAACATTTGCAGAAAAGAAAAGAAATGTTGCTTAAACAAAATTGGCGTTAAATTTTTGAAATTAATAACTTTATATTCCTTGACAATCACGCATCCTATTCTCCAGGGGCAAAGGAAATGTGAATTCAAAAACGAATTAATCATTGAAAGTATGCTATATTTTCCCTGTCATAGCTTGGACAATTTTAGTTTTATAAGTTTTTGAATTTAATTAATTTAAATGAAAATCCAAACTACGCCGTTCTTCATCTCCATATCAATAGCTATAGTCAATACCTTTGTATGTATGCACCTGGAATGGCGAAAGCTTGGCCACCTGGCAAGCCCAGCTGTTGAGCAGCAGCGCGCACGCATTAAAGCTCTCTCCCTTTCTCTCTCTCTCTCAATCTCTCTATTTCTTTGTATCGCCCTTTTCCAGCTCTCCCAATGTCGTAGACGCCCACAACAAACAGCCTAGCACCAACACCACATCAACACAGTGACATCCGAAATAACTGTTACGTTACGCATCCGTATACGTAATCTGTGAGCTTAAGAACGAGGAGGAAAAGCTTTCTGGAGCAGCAACCGGCAGCAGCTGGTCGGTCCGAGGGTTCGCTCCGGTGTCTTCCGTTCCCGTTCGACTTGGTTCAGTCGTCGATTCACTGCCAAAGTGTTACCAGTCCAAGTCCCCTTGTCCGTGAGCAGCGAGCATCGTGTCCGTGTGTATGTTTCCCTCGGCTGGAATCGTCAAGTTCAGCACATACACACACCCATTAGGAGAGCGAGTGTGTGTGTTCGCACCTACCTGTTCATCGCACTGCGATAAGAGCCTATGGATTTGTCCAATATTCCATAATCGCAGAGAAATTATATAACTTTCGAACATTTAAAGCACATAATCGAACGAAGGCACTGACATTCTGACAACTGGCCATCAACCTTCGAAATTACCAAGTGTCTACATAGTCGCTGTGCAGGCATATATACAGAAGCGGCGTACATATACACTTAGCCGTGTATATGCGCAAAGAAGCGTTCTCGCCACAAACTTGTTTACCCGCGATAAGACGGCGCTGTTGGGTCACAAGCACCGTCGGCGCTGATAAGACCCAGCAGCTTCCAGTGCCGGAATCAAGAGGACTGGGAGTCAGAGTTGCCACACAAAATCTCTCAGCTGATCCAGGCCCGTTTCCTATTTTCACTTTCGTTTAGATTCAGGGAAAGTGGTTTCCAATAATCAAGGTCTCTTAGTAAGAACACTGTAAAATATAACATAATTTATTTATAAATTTGAAAAAAATTAGTTAAAGATTTTTCAAAAATATTTCAATAATTACTATGAAACCTTTCCATTTAATTTGTTATCGAGCATTATTATCTACCTTTTGAGCAATAAAAATTGATAAAATATAATATTACAGTTTGATAAACCCATAATTCTGGTAAATACCATTACAAACCTACTATAACTATAGGTAACTAAACTCAATTTAAATATAATATCGAATTTATAAGAACATAAGAGTGTAAACCATTGTGATTAGTGCTATGAATATTTTTTATAAAAAAAAAATATTTTAAAAGCTGAAAGGAATTTCGAAAATCGTAAACTATAAATAAACAATAAGTTTAAGCTTCCCCCGTAAGCAGTATCCGTGATCCGCCTCTGTCCGATTTCGCCGTTGCCAGGGAACCGAATTAGCTTTGCGATAGATTTCCTGGACCGCACTCAATTTAATTATGGCAAAGGCCCAAAACAGACCCCCTCGATTCCACACCGATAAGATACGCTGCTCCGATCAGTCTTAAAAAATGTATAATCCTCATTATCTTTACAGGCAGAACAGTTTTGTCGACGGCCCGACCATGAGCAACCTTCCTCGAGTTAACATCGACGAGCCCAAGTATGACCAGAACACATATATCGGCCGGGCCAAGCACTTCTTCCTGGTCACCAATCCGCTCAACGTGCTGGCATCCAGCGCGCAGCTGGAGAAGGCCCGCCAGATCGTGCTGAAGTACCGTGCCGGCAAGGATGTGCCCGAGTGCAAGACCATTGACGATGTGTGGCGCGCCAAGTACCTGTACGACTCTGCCTTCCACCCGGAGACGGGCGAGAAGCAGATAGTGTTCGGCCGCATGTCCGCCCAGATGCCCATGAACACGATCATCACTGGCGGTGAGTGTGTAGCTGTGCCCCTCAATTAGGTCATCTAACTGAGCGTTTGCTTCCGCACACAGTGCGATTCGCGCCTTAATTTGGGCACAATAACAATGCTGAGGGTAATGATTTCCATTTCCATTCGCAGGCATGATGGCCTTCTACAAGAGCACCGGCGCCGTTGTCTTCTGGCAGTGGTTTAATCAAACGTACAATGCCGTTGTCAACTACACAAACCGTTCGGGCACAACGCCGATCAGCCAGCAGTAGGTACCGATTTGGCCCGCCGCTGTGCGTCCCACTAATCCATCATCCATCCATTCGCCTCGTCTACAGGCAACTGGTGACCTCTTACTGCCTGGCCACCGGCGGAGCCCTGGCCACGGCACTGTCGCTAAACAGGGCGGTGAAGAACATGAGTCCCCTCGTGGGCCGCTTGGTGCCGCTCGTCGCCGTTGCGGCCGCCAATTGCATCAACATCCCCTGCATGCGGATGCAGTAAGTGAACCAACTCTCCTTCAAGGCTATATGGTAATCCTAATACTCCCTATTTCAGGGAACTGCGGAACGGAGTGGTGCTGTTGGACGAGAATAACACCGAGATGGGTGTGTCCAAAAAGGCGGCTGCTGTGGGTATCTCGTCCGTCATTCTGAGTCGAATCGCCATGGCCCTTCCCGGAATGAGTAAGGATCCCATAGAAAGTAGAGTCGAAACACGATTAAGTGCCCCTTCCCTTGCAGCGCTGACCCCGATGCTGATGAACAACCTCGAGAAGCGGGGCTTCCTGGCCAAGTACCCGCGCTCTAACGCCCCCATCCAGACGCTTTTCTGTGGCTTCGTACTGATCTTCGCCACGCCGCTCGGCTGCGCCTTCTTCAAGCAGCGAGCGGGCATCAAGGTGGACAGCTTGGAGTCTGAGGTCCGCGACAGCATCAAGAAGAAACGGCCCGAGCTGGACACCGTGTGGTTCAACAAGGGCCTCTGAGCCCAGAGCATAATCCTCGAGCTTACAAAGACAATATCGTTTGGCCTGGCCTATTTATTTACTCACCACGCATTTATTAGCATTTTGCCAGTTGAGTTTCGTTTGAAATACTCATGGGAATACTTCTTAACGCCCACGCACGAATGTGAAAGACGGAAGGAAACCAAAATAAATATATTTCTGTTAATTTGAATTTAGCGGCAGTTTTTTTAAATTCACCTGGAATCGCGCGCAATTGACAACGTGAGCGGTAACGATTAATAACCATCGATAGTTTGCAAAGCTATCAACTCAAAAAGACCGCATCAGCTAAGTTCCAACTCTTTTCACAAAGTTAACACCTTGAAGTGAAACTTATAACAGCTTACAAAGATATACATAAAGTATCGGTAGCTAGCAAAGTTATGAACTCAAATCACAGGGCTTCAACAAAGTTCCAACTCTTTTTATCTAAGTCATCCACCGTTTAGTATAACTTATAACAGTTTATATGCAACTTATTTGAATTTTCTCGCCTTTTTATGAAAGCTTATAACAGTTGATGCAGGTATGTTTCTATCGTTAATGTTATAGTCTATAGTCTCGTCACTCTGGCTTAAGTCGGATTTTTTAAATTCCAACTGGAATCGGGTGTGAATAACAACGTGAGCGATAACTATTGATATTAAGCATCGATAGCTAGCAGAGTTGTATACTCACAGTTGATGCAGGTATTTTTTCTATCGTCATCGTAATCGTCTCGTCATCCTGGCTTAAGCTGGATTTTGTTTTTATTTAATTAAACTATAATTAAACTATTATTTAAGGCAGTTTAGTTGAATTAATTAATTTCCATTGGTTAGTAGAAGTGTTAGTACCGTTGTGCCAGCAGCAGCATATCGACGCGCGTGATTTAAGCCTGAGTTTTTGTGGCGGAGCAAACAATTAAGGTGTGGTTTTTTTGTGGACTAAGCGCGACTTAAATTAGGAAGGGGCGGCGCCGCCATTTAAAGACTCTTATTGCTTTGAATTAGTTGTGGAGTGCAGCTAGCAATAAACTAGCACCATTATTATTTAAAAGAATATTGAGAAGTATGACTTATAGTTGCGACTCCATCGGGGCTTACGACCACGCCTAAGCACACGCACACACACCAGCACACAGACACGTAATGCACTAACACCGAGCGAACGATCATCGGATTTGTTTACTAATCTATTGTTTATGCCATTAGTGTGGGGTAAATAAACAATATTATTTACTGATTTCTTCGGTGCTTGCAGATCCAGCCACGCCGCGAGCAAAATGTGCCTTTAGTCTGCTGCAAAAAGCCATCTGGAGCAGTTCCACCCATCTCGGAATCGGAATCGAGACAGCGTAGGCATGTCACCTACTAGAAGATTAGCAGTGCTAGCGCTCTGTTTATTTGGACTGGCAACGGCCCAGTTGCCCGGAGACCTGCCTGCGGGCCAATTGGACGCACAACTGGGGCAGCCAGGGCAGCAGCCACAGCAGAGCTACCAGCCCAGCTACAACAAGGACTACTCACCGCGATACAATCCGCTGTACACTGGCCAGCAGCCGAACCAGGACACTAACCAGTTCGACAATCCTCTGCTGGATGGACAGAACCCCAACACCTATAACGGCTACTACGACGGCAACCGGCCATTGGGCGGCGGAGGTGGAGTGGGCGGTCTCAGCGGCGTTGGAGTGGGAGGATACAACAACGGTGGGGGCCTTAGCAGCAATGTGGGCGGACCCGGGAACAGCCTAGGCGGCGGTTTGGGCGGCCTGGGACCCCAGTACGACCCCTTTCACCGGAACACCATTAGTGGAGCGTCGGGTGTTAATTACCGCGACATGTACACCGATGAGGAAAACTTCTGCCCCGAACACTGGGTCTCGTTTAGGCAGAGCTGCTATCGCTTCATCCGCTCCCCCAAGCGCAACTGGGCGGAAGCAAAGAAGATCTGCAAGGCCTACACTGCCGACCTGATAAACGTCGACAACGTGGAGAAGCACTCCTTCATCCTCAAAAATCTCATTTTGCAGAACCATCGGCAGAACCGATTCTTCATCTCGGCTAGACAGACGGGTCCGCAGAACTGGGTCAACGATGACAATACCCAGCTGGTGCAAATCGAGGACTCGTTCTCCATGGATGAAAACGTTCCATTGGAAAACGAGGACCTCCACGACAACAGGTTCCTGGTGCAGAACGACCTAAACAACAGGAATAGCTTCAACAACCTGAATCCGTTTTACAACTCGCTGCCAGGCACCTTAAATCAGCGCAATCAGAACAACTTGAGGGGCTTTATTGGTATGCAAATCCAACTTCAACTGTTAATATACATAGTAATCGTGTAAATATTCTCTCTAGGCCCCAATCAGCCGTACGGAGACAATGGCTACATCCGGGATCGAGTGGTATATGCTTACTCCAAGAAACGGGATCGCTGGATGTTCATGCCGGCCTACGAGATCGAACTGAACCTGTTCATCTGCGAGTCGAAGGTGCTTTACAGTCCGGACAACGTCAACATCAAGCTGGACGACAAGCGTCCCTACCACTACGGGCTCGACATCCGTGATATGGAGCGCATTCCACGGGGTCCGTACTTCGTCAAACAGCCAAACGACACGACCTTCGATGTTAACAAAAACCGATTGATCAACGATGTGTCCCTGAGCTGCTTAGCCGGCGGCTTTCCCACACCTTCGTACGTGTGGTACCGGGAGGTCTATGTCAACGACACGCTTGAGTACCAGAAGATCGATCCATTGGCTCAGGACAGATACACAATATCAGGCGGCAACCTGATCATCTACGAGCCGAAGCAAGCTCTCGACCAGGGAGCCTATCATTGCGTGGCGGAAAACAAGTTCGGCCGCGTTCGGTCCGAGAGTGCGCACCTCAACTTTGGCTTTATAATGGAGTTCAACCTGAAAAGATCTGCCGAGACGAGCGAGATGAACTGGGGCAAATCGATATTCTGCGACCCGCCACAGCATTATCCCGACGTTCGCTACTACTGGGCTCGCGACTACTTCCCCAACTTTGTTGAGGAGGACCAGCGTGTGTTTGTCTCCCGGGACGGCGCCCTCTACTTCTCCTTCATCGAAACTGTGGACCGTGCCAACTATTCATGTACTGTGCAAACTCTGGTGTCGGACACCGGCCGCAATGGACCATTTTTCCCGCTGCGCGTGACGCCAAATAGCAACTACCAGGCGTTGATATTCGCCAATACCTTCCCCAAGGTCTTCCCAGATGCGCCGGTGGCCGGCGATGAGATCCGACTAGAATGCATGGCCTTCGGCTATCCCATTCCAGCCTACAACTGGACCCGCCAGAACCAGCCGCTGCAACGCAACGCCTACACGATAAACTACGGCCGCGTTTTGATTATCCAGAATGCGACGACGAACGACAACGGAGAGTACACCTGCACGATCACCAATCCCCGCAAGACGCTGACGAAGAGCATCTACATCAACATCCAGATGCGTCCCGAGTTTACCATTCCGTTGAAGGACATGATCAAGGACTACAACAGCGACGTGACCTTTATATGCGAGGCTTTTGCAATTCCGGACGCGAACTATACGTGGTACAAAAATGCCGAGCGCCTCGACCCGCTGAACATCAATCGTGACCGGTATATCATTCAGGACAATGTGCTGACAATCAAGTTTTTGGAGAAGGATAAGGACGAGGGAATGTATCAGTGTGGAGCCCAAAATCAGCTGAAGACATCATTCTCTTCGGCACAACTCCGAGTACTCTCCATGAAGCCGTCCTTCAAGAAGCATCCCCTAGAGGCCGAGGTCTATGCTGTCTACAATGGCAATACCACTATCGTTTGCAACCCCGAAGCCGCTCCACGCCCTAAATTCCAATGGAAGAAGGATGGCCAGGTCTTAGGTTCAGGTGGCCATCGACGCATCCTGCCCAGCGGCACACTGACCATTGCGCCAACGTCGCGGGACGACGAAGGCGTCTACACATGCATAGCCTCAAACCAGGCCGGCACGGATGAGTCTCATGCCCGTGTTATTGTTTTGCGTACGAATTCATTTTCTATTATTCATCGATTTATTGTTAACTCATAAATTAAAACATTTGCAGAGGAGATTCGCTTTATGCAAACACCACCGCAGCGGATTGTGACCAAGGAGCACGACCTAATCTACCTCCACTGTGAGGCTGCTTTCGACCCATTGCTGGATATTGCCTACGTGTGGAAGCAGAATGGCGAAGTTCTGAAGAACAACCATGACGGCACAGGACGAATTGTGAGTGCATTTTAAACATTTTCCTCCACGAAACTTTTTGTGAGATCTCAAGATCCTCGTTCTAGATTGTGGACTGGAACAGTTTGACAGTACACAACACCACCATGCGGGATGCTGGAGACTACGAATGCGTCGTCAAGTCGGCTGTCAACGAGATCACCAGCAAGACCACCGTGGTCATTGAGGGAGCACCCGGAGCCCCAGGCGGTGTTCAGGTCATTCAGATCAGCAAAACGAAGGCAATCATCGAGTGGGTGGACGGGGCGAACAACGGCCGCGCCATTCGCTACTACAATATCCTGGGACGCACCAACTGGAACCGTACCTGGGTAAATGTGTCGACGCATGTGCAGGCGCGCGAGGTGGATCGCTACACGTCGCGCCAGCAAGCCGAGGTGATCAACCTAACGCCCTGGTCGGCCTACGAGTTCAGTGTGACGGCCGTTAATGACCTGGGCATTGGCACCCCTTCCGCTCCATCGCCGATATACAGCACCTACGAAGACAAACCGTATATAGCCCCACGGAACGTCGGTGGTGGTGGCGGCAAGATCGGCGACCTGACCATCACCTGGGACCCGTTACTGCCCCAAGAGCAGCATAGCCACGGCATACACTACAAAGTGTTCTGGAAGCTCAAGGGAGCCCTGGAATGGGCTTCTGACGAGATCAAGAAACAGGATCACATGGGCGTGGCTGTGGTCAATATTCCCCTCAACAACTACTACACCCAGTACGAGGTCAAGGTGCAGGCTATCAACAACGTCGGCAAAGGACCTGAGAGCGCCGTCGCTGTCATCCACTCCGCGGAGGACATGCCGCAGGTGGCACCACAGAAGCCCTTCGCGCTCGCCTTTAACTCCACCTGCTTTAACGTCACCTGGCAACCGATTGACATGTCCCGCGAGAATATTCGTGGCAAGCTCATTGGCCACAGGGTAAGCTATTAGGTATATACATATCCAAACCGCTGGTCCTAACTGTTCCGATTTAGTTGAAGTACTGGAAGACCACTCACCAGGAGGAAGACTCCGTATACTATCTTTCGCGTACGACGAGAAACTGGGCACTGATCGTTGGTTTGCAGCCGGATACTTACTACTTTGTGAAGGTCATGGCCTATAATGCGGCGGGAGAGGGCCCCGAAAGTGAACGTTTCGAAGGTCTGTTTAGAATTAAATTATTCGTTACAGGAATAAATAATTTATATACATTTCATTTTAGAGCGCACATACCGTAAGGCACCGCAGAAGCCGCCTTCCTCAGTTCACGTGTATGGAATAAACCCGTCTACGGTGCGGGTTGTATGGCGATACGTTTCCCCCTCGCAGGACGAGGAACCCATCGAGGGTTACAAGGTAAGTCCATTGGCATTTCTGCCGGAAACATAAACCATTAATATCTCATCATCTTGTTTAGGTTCGCATTTGGGAGACGGATCAGAACATGATCACTGCCAACAATACCATCGTGCCAATCGGACAGAAGCTGGAGTCTTACATCAATACCCTGACCCCCGGCAAGAGCTACAATATGCGAGTTCTCGCCTACAGCAACGGCGGAGATGGCCGGATGTCCAGCCCTACGCTACGCTTCCAAATGGGCAAGACGACGCGCAATGCTGCGAATACGCGCCACGGCCACAACATAAACACGGCGCTAATCTTAAGCACACTGCTACTCATTACCACCTTTTTCTATACAAACCACTGAACGTAGCACAAATCGAGATGCGTAAGCCTAGACAGTAAGGAATACGAACACCCGTCCAGGAGCATAAGTAGCGCACAGTCTCCAAACTTATACAGAAACCCAAGAGTCTCGTTAAGAATATATACAAACAGGTCAAGAAGCATTCCATAATTACTTTGAAGCCGAAAGTAATCAATTGAATTGACTTAGGATTATTAATGCACACAAGAAATGATAGGTTTTACATCATACGACATACATATTTACAAAAACTGAAGAAAAGTGACCTTATATTAGCGTAAGTAGCCCTGCGAGAAATTCGAAAACATTTACAGATATTTTTTGAACATATTTCCTGAATTAACTGCGAAGAATCTGTATTAGAGTAAGATTATATCAGGTTTCAGATATATGTATTATTTTTACTTTGTATTCGTCCTTTTCGTAAACTTCTAATTTCCTGTAAATGTCATTCCGTCCATTCTACAGATTTTCTAAAATAAAATTTATATCTTTCCAAGTATTTAAATTTTAAGTGTAGTTTTTGGTCCTTGTTGGGAGACGTTGATTATATTTATATTTTTGGTTTCTGAGATCCTAGCATCCCCAAATGGAGTTATTGAAAACTAAGAAGAAACTATAAAATAAAAAACAATAAAACCAAGATTAGATTTGCAAAACATTGCTCTACAGTCTGAGCGAATGTTCCAGAAAAATAATAATTGTCCTTTTTGTAAATGTCTAATGTCCTATAAATGACATTCAGTCCATTCTACAGATTTTCTAAAATCAAATGTATATCCTTCGAAGTATTTAAATTTTAAGTGTAATTTTTCGTACTTGTTGGTAGTCGTTTATTATATTAACATGTTTTGTTTTTTAAATTCTGGCATATTGGAAATTAAGAAGGAATTATAAATTAAATAATAATAATAATAATAATAATAAAATCAAGATTAGATTTGCAAAACATTGCTTTACAATCTAAGCGAATTTTCTATGAGAATAAATTAAGGTTTAGAAGTTTTAAAGCATTTGAAGGAAAGTCTTTAAAGAATGTCTGGTATCTGGAATAAAACAGCGTTGTTATTATTAATAATACAATAGGAGAATACATTAAATGGCTATTAAAGAAATAATAATAATATTAATATGCTAACGGTACTTTCAGTGATACATTTATGCTCTCAGTATATTGGACATCGGTATTTTTTCTGAACTTGGCATTTTGGCTTTTTTGGCGCTCTAGCCATGGCCACACTGGAGCGAAGCTTACAAAAGCAAAATTGAGCAAAAATATATGTTTTTAACATGGTTTTATAACGCACATCCATCTGGAAAGAAGACATCGCGACGCGTCCAAGCCACACACGCCCACCTGCAAACAGAACCGGCAGCGAGGTTAGTACCATGGCCAAGGCGAACGGCTGGAATGGGTGCGGAATGGGCGTGCACGGCAATGGGAGCAGCGTCTCCATACGCTCCGCCTCGAAGTATTCGCGTAGCACGGAGCTGCGTCGCGTCGAGGACAACGACATATACCGGCTTGCCAAGATCCTGGACGAGAATGCTTGCTGGCGCAAGCTAATGTCGATCATCCCCAAGGGCCTGGACGTGCAGACTTGCAGCGCTGCCGGCGGTCTTAACTTTTCGGCGGCGGTCAGAAACGGATTTAAGTATACGGCGCAGGACGTGTGCCAGATTGACGAGGCCGCGAACAGGCTGCCGCCTGACCAAAGCAAGTCTCAGATGATGATTGACGAGTGGAAGACCTCAGGCAAGCTGCACGAACGGCCCACGGTGGGCGTGCTGCTCCAGTTACTGGTGCAGGCTGAGCTCTTCAGTGCGGCCGACTTTGTGGCGCTGGACTTTCTAAGTGGTGAGTCATTTATATTTATTAGCCTTATTTGTTTATATTTCTGTGGTATTTCCCTAGAACCCACGCCCGATCGCCCAGCCGACGGCCCCGCAGCTCCTATAAGCCTCGACCTGTCAGAACTGCTAGAGGAAGAAATGGACGTGGACAACGAGGGACTGGGTTACCAGCAACCGAACACTGCCACCTTGAATGCCCAGGGCAGTGTGGGGTTGAATCTGGACAATTTCGACAAGCACATGGTTACGCAGGATAAAAGCGTGCCGCAGCCATCCGAAAACGTTCCGCCCATTGCCCCGCCTCGTGCCTCCCGCCTGCTAAGGGACAGTGCGAGTTCAAGAAATGCAGCGAGCACAGGGACAGCCACTTCTTCGGCGACCGTCCCCAACATCCCCAATCTGACAATTCTCAATCCCAGCGAACAAATCGAGGAGCAGCAGCCGCGTCCACAGAACATTCCCAACCTGTCCATACTCATTGCCAACTCGTCAACTTCGATGACAACGGCGTCCACTTCGCTGGGGAACCCAAGCACCCGAGCCAGTTCCACGGAGCCGCCAAACATACCGCGCATCACGCTGCTGATTGATAACTCCGCCGAGATAAGGTCGCCCGCCCATGATGCTACGGGTAGAACCGCAACTGCATCAAGCGCCGCGGCGAGCTCGAACAATTTGCCAATGATAAGCGCTCTAAATCTGAATACTGACAACGGCGAGGCCCCGCATCCGGACAGCAGTAGCAGCTCGAGCAGCTTGAGTAACGATGAGGAGGACGATGACGACGAGGTGGATGGAGAGGGCGATTTTGCGGATGTATCTCTGCCAAACATGAGCAACTCGGAGCAACCGAACTCCAACAATGACTCCAGCCTGACAACGGTCACTGGCACCAGCGGTGATAACAGCTTCGAGCTAACTAACGACTCTAGCTCAGCCTCAAATGACGATTACGCCGGTAACATTCCAAATTTGAGCGAGCTGCAGCACTAGGGAAAGTGACGACAAGCCCGTCCATGGAGCAGACAAGACAGACATTCCATTCCGTTAACCATATTAGCCTAAGTTATGTTTGTACTACCTGCGTGTATTTATATGTTAACCGACGCCGACGACATCGGCCTCCTCTAAATGCGGACCTAGTTATATATTATGCATACTGTGTAAGGTCCAAGTAGAATCTAAGATTCGGGGCAAGCTTTCGACATACCACTATTGTTTCGTTGTCCATATCAAACTACTGACCCAGAGTCCATGACAAGTGGCGGCAATATCAAATATTTCCGTTTCGAGAAGGCCATATGTGTGTAACCAAATAACCGATTGTAACAAATTTTGTATCTTTTACAAAGTACGCATTGTTTTTCAAGTATAAATATACTAAACGAGAAAATGGGCTTTATTGACTTTGTGTGCTGGATGTTTATTACTTTTTAATCCTGGCTTAACCTAGAACCAAAAATTGTTGGCTTACAAATTTGTCTGCATAAAAAATTCTTGATTTAATGTTAAAATATATAAATCATGTATTATTTACTTAGGCACACTTAACCTATTTTATAAACAACGGTAAAAAAAATAAGTTTGCAATTTAATTTTTAATGAGAATACTAAAACCGAAGAAATCAATTCAAATTTAATTCGTTAAATTTCCAACACTGTCTGCCGCAGGGCTGAAGTATAACTAGTTCTGGATAAGCCTATCGATAGTCTGCAAGCGGACTGCGGCAGCCCTGAAACGACACATCAACAACAACAATAAGAATAACAACAGCGAAGATAGAGTATTTGTTGTCGTAGTTAACCCAGATTTAGAATAAAATCCTCAACCAGCTTGTGCTCCCTAAAACAGTCAAAATTATTCAAAACATGGACGAGTCGGAACTGCTCTTTAATCTGTTCTACTTCCTGCTCTGCATGGTCATCATTTACCCCCCAGAGGAGTTCCAGCGCCTGGGCTTCACCATCGAGCAGTTGTTTGCCCGCTTCCTGGGGGAGGAATATTTGGACTTTGTGGGCTACCACCTGCGCCGCACATCGCTCAATCTGTTCGTGCACTCCTGTCTGCCGTTCTCCTATTTCCTGATCCACAGACTGAAGTTCTCTGTGTTTGCAACGCAAGAGCCGCTAGAGGATTCCGACCTCGACCCAGATTTCCCGATGCCACAGGAGGCGGTGGCTTTCAAGACGCTCACCTGGAAGACCGCCCAGCGCTTCAGCGTACTGGCGGTGATGGCTGTGCCTGCGCTCATCTTTAACTGGCATCAGCAGAACTGGCGCCGGCATCCGATAAATAAGGCGCTCGCCAAGTACTCGAACTCGCCCGGCAGCTACAGTGCCGTGGCCAGCGACATTGGCAACGAGTTTCGGCGGCCGGAAATTTACAAGAAGAAGCTAAACTCCATCAGCACCGTGATTGCGACGGAGAACTGGATAATCAAGACCACAATGTACAATGTCCACTTTGCCCACCAGAGCAACACGGCGCTAAGCGTGGCCAAGGTCAGTTAATCACGATTCTCGTTAGCCAAGAAACTTTTCTGAACTTATGTCCTTCCGCAGGCGGAGACATATAACATTTCGCATCACGACCAGAACGACACGCTGCAGATGATCAGCATTATCGTGCGCCCAATGAGGCAAGGCGTTGCTGACTTTCACATACGAATTAACGCCTTGGAGTTCAGGAACCTGGAGGATCGCGTTCGGCGCCCCATTGCCATACCTTCGAACATTCAGTTTCACCGCAACGTCATCGACCGTTTCGTGGACGTGTTCAAGGCGCAAGTCGCTCTGAATCCCATCTTTCAGGCGGAAGTGACCACTGAGAAGTGCTTCGCTTGCATGCTGAATGAACCTAACACCAAGATCCACAAGCAGTGCGCCGACCTGGACCGCAGCGGTGCTCCGCTCGCAGAAGGAGCGTGCTGTTCCAACTGCTACTGCCGACCCATGTGGTGTGTGGAGTGCCTGGCGCGGTGGTTTGCCGCCCGCCAGACCGACGTAGATCGCGAAGTGTGGCTGGAGCAAAAGTGCACCTGCCCGATGTGTCGGGCCAAGTTTTGTGTACTAGACGTTAGCTACATCAGAGCTCCATCAACTCAGCAGCGCGGAGCCGACGAGGACAATGCCTCGTGATTTACGACTGTGTTAAAGTAACAATTAAAAAACGACTCTTAAATCGAACCTCGTTCTTTATTGGTCAGATTCAAATATGTAATCACTTTGACTAATGTAAGACGTACAATAACGTAGCTGTAAACTTAAAGTATGCATATAATTTAGTGCAGTTATCACGTTTTAATACTTTACAATCTAACATAAGCGAGCTAGCATGCTGGAGATAATAATTTATAACTAACAATTTTACTTAAGTACAATCGATATAAGCCCGGAGAGAGAAAGTGAGGGTGTGCAAACTATGCCTTACTAAATTTTAAAACCGCGATTACAGCAGATGCTTCTCGTCTTCCCTGCGCTGTATAGCCTGCAACTAGTGCAATAAGCCCTATATCTTAGCCCTTCCCAACCACCTTCGCTTTCTCTCTCTCCCTTGACCTCTCAATCTGATTAAATAAAGCGCCATGCTAAGTTATAGATGCATAAGAATATACTTATAAGGAATACGCGTAGCGCTTGTCCAGGCCCCAGTAGCTACCTATAAATTCGTTTCGTAAAAACTTTTATAGCTCTCCGTCTTTTCACGCTGACTTCGCGCTGGGTTGCTGCCTGTTGTCGCCGGCGATCCTGTGTTCGCTGCTGGGCCGGAGTTCTTTGCGCTGGACGAACTGCGTGCAGAGACCTAGAACAAAGAGATAAGTTAGAGTCGTTCTCAGATAGAGAAAGGAGGTTCTGAATGGATTGCGCTTATCAGCAATCACGGACTCTCACAACTAATAATCGGAAGACATGTTCCAAAGTCATTTTTATGATTTAGCACCTGATTTTAATCAAGAACCCGGCGCATTTATTCGAAAAGCTCTTTTGACATCGTGCACAGCCACTTATGGGTCTATATATAATTCCCGCCAAGTCGTTCGTATATATCTATGTGTATGCCAGACTTGACTTGATGTTAAAGAAGGTTCTCTGCTTCAATCGTTGTTTTATTCAGGTTTTGGTTTCTTCTTTACATATAGTATATTGATAAGACTGTTCGTATTTCGATGTCTGATAATGATTGTCGAAGAGCTAACTACCCCCGGGTTCTTTATTCTTTGGCGTTAACACTATGCACGTCACAATACGTGCTCTATTATTAAAGAATATAAATATGATTGGCCGATATAACAAATACAGATATCAGAACTCTGTTATTTACCTATGTATATTCGCTCGTGTATAAATCACCGTCATAAAATATCTACTCACCTTGATTTAGCCAACTGATAATTGTATCGCAAAATATCAGCAAATAAAGCTTCCCCGTTTTATGGGGATACCAATGCATTTTTAAATTATTTCGAACTAAATTATTAAAGTTTGGAAGAACGGACCGATTATATTTAAAAGAAACCCCTTTAAAAAGCTCCTAATATTTCATAACAAATTAATATATAAAAGCTCACTTTAAAATCGCAATTTCCATTCAATCGACCTACAAAATTTCCTGTTTTTTTATATTAACTTTCATCACCACAAGATCATTTGAAGCAACTCCGGGAATAACTTTTGATTTCGCCACTATAAATAACAACTCCGCTTCGAAATACTCGAACGTCCGTTTCTCCCAAGTTCAATGGACAGACAACGACGCATTGGTGACTGGACAACAAAGTAACCCGGCAATCAATCGATCGATCGGCCAATGCATTTACGTTGCGCAATGTGCCCGCTCCGAGGAGAGTACACACCCTCCCGGGATGAGGACTGGGACTGGAACTCGGACTGGACACCCCAATTTCGCACCTCATGAATTTGATGCGTTGCCAAATTTACCTTATTCGCGTGCCATTGAATTGGGGCTGTTTTTAACGTGACTCCTGGGTGCATTTGCCTCTACATGGAGTGTAGTCATGTGTATGTACTTATACATAAGGTATATAAATTGGAGGGATGTGCTTCTCGTATTATATGACATTCTGGCGAATTTTAGCCACTCTCTGGGGTCGTCGTCGCCGAGACGCCAGTAAAGGTATAAAGTTTCCAGAAAGGTGTGTTTGTCGGTCGGTCGGGTCGAGTTCTCAGGTGAACATGCAAAGCACAACACGTATACGTGTAGACTTATATGGTGCATATATAGTATATTGATCTTGCTTTGTTGTTGTTCCAGCTTTTGTTTACTTTCTGTACTTGCAGTTCGCAATTTCGTTGCCTTTCTTGTTTTGTTGATAAAAAGGCCTTTTGGCAAAACAAACACAAAAAGCAAGAGTGCGCAGCGAATGGGTTTTATGGGGTTTTATGGTCCTTTCTGTCTGGAGTGGTTTCAAAACCCATATCTGTACATATAATGTATACTGGCCTTTTACAATTGCCTAATTTACTGAGTGGCTTAATTAGATCTACCAAAGGATAGTACTCCAAGCCACAAACTTAGTACATATGTGTGCTAGCTACACTCCCACCAAATCGTTTCAAATGCGAAAAAAAAGTAAAAATTCCCTTTAGAATCTAATCTTATCGTCACTTATATTTTCTTTACATATAAATCTTGGCAGAGCTCTCATCCAAGGGCAAAGTACACAAGACAGGTACTAGAGTTCTGATCAAAATGGCGAACTTTCTTTTTGGCAAACACATATATAAATCCCTGCCTAATTGCTTTATTCAAGGCTATTGAACCCCACTTTTTAGGAACTCAATTTAATTTTACACTAATTGCCTTTCTGATGAAATCGACCGGACTAAAATAAAGATCATCTATATATTCGCATACAAGGGGCTTGTATAAATTTACAACCACTGTTGAAATAAGGCCGGAAGAGTGATTCACCAGATTTACGCAACTCAATTATTAATTTTAAGTAAAGATTAATTAGGAAGTATCTTAAAATAGAAATGTATTGCCAATTCTTACTTGAAAAGCTGTGGAAATTATCAGTTTCCCTATTTCCGTTTTTAGTTTCCTAGTCCTTTGGATGTTTAGTTAAAGATGCTTCACTTTTTTGCTGTTTGTCGTTTTCTCTCAGCGCCTCAAGTGACTCTAAATTGTAAACAATGTCGTTCGTATATATCCATATATAGTATAAGTCCCCAAGTACTTGAAAGAATAAGGCACGGACTGGATACTGCGCTGACTGACTTATCACAACAATGCGGACTTCCGTTTGGCTAACGAGCACTTCCGTTTGCCCTTGTAAGTATTTCTTTAACGATATTGTTCCTACACTGTGCACTTTCCTGGAAGATCCCCGTTCAGGTGTGTGTGACTTCGTGAATAGATAACCCACAAAAAAATCACCTGCGAATCACGCACCCAATATGGGTCGCACACTCAACTTTTGCCAGATAGCAAATGGATCGGATCGGGTCGATAGTAAAAAATTAAAATGAAAATGAGCAAGTGGGGGCCGCACCTTTTCGTTCTCCTTAGTGGATCCTACGGCACTGTGGGCATCGAAGAGCTTGCCATCCACCGCGTCCCGCTTCTTGTTCTTCGACCTGAACCGACCGGAGCGGGAGATGGAGAAGTTCCGCCACTGGTGGCTGTACTCGCATCGCTTCTCCTCCTCGTTGAGGACGCTGTCCAGATAGTGGATCGTTGGCTCGTGAGCGGCTGCCATGGTGGTGGAGTTGGAGCAGAATAGATGGGTCTTTGCCGGCAACGTCAGCGGATCGATTGGATGCGTCCTCGGCTCGCTGTGGCTCTGGTGTTCGTTGGTGTTTCCGATTCCGATATTGCCGTTGATAACGCCAGGCGGAGGCGATACCGGGCACTCGCACTTGCACTGGCCCAGATGTCTTTTGTTTTGTTTGTGTTTTGAGTGTTTGTGGTTCGGTTTTGTCTGTGTGTTGGTCGTGTGTTTGGGTTTGGGTTTGTCGAGGAGGTGACGGTGTCGAGATCCAGTACTACCGCTGACGCTCAATGGTTCCCGTGGCGCGTGTGGTCTGCGACTGCGGGCTAGTAACGCAGCGCCGCTGCTATTAACCGAAGTCGCACACACAAGTGACGAAGTGACAGCCCCAACCACAGCCCGACCCGACGCCGGCGTCGCCGCTGACTCCACTCTACTTCGGATTCGCTCCGGAGGCGGCGCTCCGCCGTCACAAAGAACGAACACAGACCAAAGAGAGCAGCCGTGGAGCAGAAAGAAAGCAGCAAGAAGTGAACAGCTCACAGATCCCATCACCCAGCTCACAACTCCAGACCGTGTGATTGCTCCTGAAAGCCCAAACAGGTGGGCCCAGCAGCTCCCACACACACAACCGCACCCGCTTAGTGCTGGCTAACTTCCACCCGGAACAAGGCAGAAAATCGGCTATATAAGGTTAAACAGAAGCTTCTCGGACAGGACACAATTATAACCGATAATATATTTTAATATTTTATATGAAATATTTTAATATTTGTTTCAATACTTTCCATCATGATACAATTATAATAATTTTATAATGAATCATGTTTATACTTATGTATATGGAGAAAATCGAATTTTTTAAATTTCATAATTAAACCAAAAATGCATTCATTTTGATTCGGAATGCTTTTCTGTGCTCGTTTTTATAGGGCTAACAAATCAGTATACTAAGTTTTAAAATTAAAAAAAAACAAAACAATTTTTGTCAAATGTTGACAATTTTAATGATGTAACCCCTTATAAAATTTTCAAAATTTTGAAAAAAAATTTGTTTTGACCGGACATAGGCAGATCGATTCGGCAGTTGAAGCTGATCAATAATATATATGGTTTATATGGTCGGAAATGACTCTTTCACTGCATTTTAAGCTTCTGACTAAACGTACATACCCAGGAAGGGTATATTAACAAGAAATATATTTATTAATATATGTAGAATACGAGACAGTTTAAAAATAGTAATAATGCCTAAAAGCATCAAGATTCATTTTAAAGTTTCCTTTTCTTGCCTCATCGAATTATGGCCAAAAGCTAAAGCGGCATCACCGTTCATTGGTATTGTATCTGTATACTCCCCTTTATGTGAACAGTAGGTAATGTGTATGGGTTTATGCCGACTTCGTTAACGTCTTCGATACTCTGAACAAGATGTCCTATAGACTATAACGACCATCCCGACTAAATAAGCGATACACAGAACATAAATAAACTTTAAAGTTAAAAGACATCTAAATCCTATTAGGAATTCCATAATTTTTAATGTTTATAACGCCAACAAGTTTGTGTTGTTTAATAACCAATTGCATAGTTCAGCTTTTGAGTCCTTAAAGGGTATTAGAAATTCAGTGTGGCAAGCTGATATTTGCTCACCGTATTTTATTGTATCTGCCAACTGCACACAGATATCTGGCGATATACCTGTACATGTGCTGTCGATGATAAGCGCAAATAGACAAAACAAACACACAACTTGCTAACAATTATAAATGATTAGATCGCTTTTTGGAGCATTCACTTCGGACAGTTCTTTAACAGTATATTTTGTCTTTACCATTATAGGTGGCGAGCCGAGAACCTGGCGACAAAAGTGATTCGTAAGAAATACGGAGATGAATCAGGCAGAGCAACTGCACAGATGCAGCTACAGATACATCTAGGCACAACTAAAAGATACATATGTACATATATGTGAGGTCGGTTGGGGTTCATTATCTTGGGCCGCAGTGACTCAGCAGCTCAGTCGGCTTACGAGTAAATATATTATTCACACTTTCTTGCCGCGCTCACTTACCTAGCTCTTGGCCAGCTCTCCATCTATCGATCGAACCTCTGGGGGCACACGGGAACGAACGGTTGGCCCTTATCTAATCGGACATCCGAATCAAAAGCGCTCGCCAATTGCACTATATTACACAGGGCTTAAGGCCACAGAGAGTACAGAGTCCGTACTGAGAACGGAATATTATGGTTATATTCACCCACAGCCGAGGGTTTTGCTTTTATTTACAGAGGCAACTTCGTAATTTACAATTTAGGTATAAATTCAAGTGTGTGGAAGCGTACGCATATATAAATCCATTATATACTATTTCAATATTATATCTAAGCGGGGACATGGCGGTTGTTTGCCAAAGGCTAGTAGTTGGCGTCTATTTCCCGGTCATTAAACATAGAGATTTTCTTTTATAACAATAAATTTAACTTGATGACGCCTTACAAAAAATTTTAGCACACCGAAAGGGGATGTTGTGTTGTCTGCGCATCCAAAGGCGACAGTTAAGAGAATCAACTTAGAAAAACAATAAATCGTAGAAAAACAGATCTACATAAAATGATGGGCAACACGCCTCCTTCTAAACAACACTTCCACCACTATCACCGGGCTGGCGATTAAGTTCACGTTCTCGTATTGCCACGGCGTCCAACCGCAGAGTCGGTGGCACTGGACGCTGCTGTTGGTTCTGCGCCGGCTGATCCTGTCGAGCTGCGCCAGCAGAAGTGTTGCTGCGGTGCATGTAAGTGCGAATGTTTTCCTCCGTGTAATCCACGATACGGCGTTTCTTGCGACTAGCGTATTGCTTCTGCTTTAAATAAATCTTGAGGATACCTTTGACCGTGATAAATGTAAGGCCGCCGAGCAAAGTGCGGTGCAACGTGTTGTCCACAGAGTCAAAAAGAATCCGCCCTACAATGGACGAGATGGTGGGCAGGAGAAGTGCACCGCAGAATACGCGCGTGGCCGAAACGGGGTCGGACAGCGCTGGAGTGGCTGGATTACTAGTGCTCTGCTGTTCATCCTCCTGGTTTCTGGAGAGAATACATGATTTTAATAAGGTTCGATTATGAGTGTGGGCTGTACTCTTACAGGTTCGGATAGATGAGGCTCACAAATGGGAACTTCCTCACCACAGTTCCGCGGTTTCGAATTAGTCGTAGCAGTGCGTCCTCCCAGCGAATTAAGCGACCTAGCACCAGTCCGACTGGAATGGCCGGCAGTCCGATCAGGAGCACCAGAGGATCACCGGCTTCCATAATGGACATGCCGTTCTCATGACCAACAATCTGTAAAGTATACATTCTTTTAGGAAGGCAATTCGCGAATTGATGAATAATGTTGATTTACCTGTAAAAACGTTACCGCTCCATACGTTACGGCTGTCCAATAGAGCGAGCCGACGAAAAAGCCAGCCGCAAGGAAAGGACTCAGGCGCTTAATTAAGTTGTCCATCGCCTCCAGGGCGCCGCCAAACTTTCCCATTTGCGGGAACACAATTATGTACTCCGTCTGGCACTGAGGGCAGGATACGGAACGCAGCGCGTTTCCTTTCTGCGTCTTCTCGTCGATCCAGCGGTAAAGGCAGCTCTGATGCACCCACTTGGTGGTACCACGACACTGACACGGCTTCACCCACGCTGCCAGCCGGTTGTCTTCGTCAGTGGCGAAGCAGATCCAGCAGCAACGCTCCGGCTCGCCGGCGTCCGCGCCCATCAGCACTGTTGTGGAGGTTGAAGCATCTGTCGCAGTTTTGTCTGCGTGGGCAGTGGCTGTTGCTGCTGCTGCTACTTTGGTTACAGGCACTGCGGGCTCGTCGCTTTGTACGATGGCAGGTGGCACAGTCAGCGTCGTGTGGTCACCTTCAGCTCCAGGGGCAGCTGTAACTGCCGGGTTGGCGGAGGCTCCTTCTTTTGCGTCTGCGGGGGGCGCCTTGTCAGCCATATCAATGCGCTAAAAATGTCACACCATGAACTATTTATGTTAATCGACTGCACTGGGTCGCGCCCTATATGTCGCCTGGCAACTTCGCTCACTTTGCTCTAGCTCTGCTTCCCGTATGTTGTCGCAGGCTCTTGGTATTTGCTACTTAGACTTTTGTATAGAGCAATTGTTAACTTTATTTCTATTTTTGTAGCCCCAAAAGTCGGAACAGTGACAACAAAATTATCGATACCAACGTACCAGCTCGATAACGATAGCAGAACTACAAACCTAGAGATGCTGAAGCGCCGACGACAGCCTCGATGTTTATTCTAAGCTGTCCTCTCTAACACTTGTTAGCAGACAATACATTTAAAAAAATATATTTTATTGTTGACTAACCAATGATTTAAAAACCGGGTATGGTTTATCCCATCCCATTTAACCTACCACAGGACACGGGGAAATTGTGAAATGTTATTTTTAATTTCCATATGAAACATTGGAATCTACATTGGATTTATCGCGACTTTTGCGTACAGCACAATAAAATTATAACAAGAATAGCCCGATGAATTGTTGCCTAAAAACTTCGGCGACCTTGAACGACGCAGTACAGTACAGTACAGAAGGAAAAAAGTGATCCTCTGCTGCTACGCACCGTCTAAGGGGAGCGGCCTTGCACGGAGCCCTGCTCGATGCTAGTCCAATTCGTTGCTGGCGCTTTGTCGACCAGGCGTCGTGTCCTGATCTCCCTCCCCGTCGTCCTCATCAAAGCCCGCCATTAGCCGATTTAATATGTCTCCGAACATCCCTCCCAGTCCTGGTGCAGTGTGGGTCACCTCAGGCTGCTCGTCAAAGTAGAGCACACCGATCTTCGCCACGTACTTCAGGAACGATAGGTCGCGCTTGAGCGAGGGATCGTAGAGCTTGCGCAGCGCTCGGAACCCGGACACGCTCTTGACATCGATGAGACGGAACAGGAAGTACAAGAAGTTTACCAGTGGCTCCTTGAAGGGAAACTCGTGTCGCAGCAGCTTCGCATGGTAGCGCGTGTACTCGGTGAACGTGTCCTCGGCGGTCTTGCGATCTTTTAGCGACAACTGTTGCAGCACGGCTTGCACCAGAAATAGGTCCACTTCGCCCTGGAAGCCTCTGCTCTGGCTTATCTCGATTAGCACTCGTCCGCAGAGACTGCCGTCCTGACAGAGCAGGTAGTGGTGGCGGGCCAGCTCGATGTTGCCCTCAGTCCAGAATACGTGCGCAATCAGCTTGTGTAGCACTGGGTGGCCGTACTGTCCATGCAGCGCCGTACTCCACTTGATGGTCCGTTGCTGGAACGAGAATTCTTTGATATATGATGATGGACTATTAGAAAGTTCCAGAACTCACGATCAGAGTCTCGCGCTCCACTGTCGCGGCGCTGAGGCTTCGGATTAGGGCTCCCAGGCGGGCCACCCATACAAAGTTGTCGTCGCCCTCGTCCAGGGGACCCCGCTTCTCCAGCGTATCCACCAGCAGTAGACACAGGTCGGCCGCGCTGCTCTCCTGCTCCTTGTCTATCAGCTGCTGGGCCCCCTCAAAGAGTAGGTCCAGGCAGTCCTGGTAGCGCTTCTGCGCCGTATACCGAAAGTACAAAGTCCTGTACATCATGTGAGCCTCGTAGAACTCTCCTCCGGCCAAGGATTGCGACAGCTTGGCAAGAACGCGGCTGACACCGCGCTGCCCCGCGGACGCCCTACTGCCGCTGGCTGCTGCACCTGTCTCGGCGGCGGCCATTTCTCCGATAGCACTCTAGTTTATCTTGTATTTGGAAGCCTAATTTTTATAATTTCTATATATTTACATATACACACATCCCGATAATAGACCGTCTATCGAAGTCGATAATACACCACCTATCGAAATCGACTCCACCGATGACGACCAAATTAAAAACGCTAGGTCTAGTGGAAAAAAAGAGATTTTTATGAGAGATTTTTATCTGCAAATAATCGATATAGCCTGAATTAAGCTAAACTGGCAACAGTGATAAAAACAAAACGAAATCAAAAACAAATTTTTTTTTGATTCGATTTGATTTGGTGTTCCAGCCTGGACAAATGGACAATGATCCGAGGGAGAGCGCATCCTCCAAGGACGAGCCGGCCAAAGAAGAGGAACTGGCCGTCGCTACCAACTTTGCACCCAACCGTTGGGTGAAATTGAACGTGGGCGGCCAGATTTATGCCACCACCATAGACACTCTGGTGGGCAGAGAGCCGGATTCGATGCTGGCCAGAATGTTCATGCAAGACGGCAACATGGTACCCAGCGAGCGGGACGAGCAGGGCGCCTACCTGATAGACCGCAGTCCTCGCTATTTCGAGCCCATTATCAACTACCTGCGGCACGGCCAGTTTGTCTGCGATTCTAACGTCAGTATGCTAGGCGTGCTGGAGGAGGCGCGCTTCTTCGGCATCTATTCACTGGTCACCCACTTGGAGGAACGCCTGGCCCAGCAGGAGGATCCACAGAGCGATCAGCCGTTGACTCGCATGGACGTCATCAAGGCCATCATTCAGACATCGGTTATTACGGAGCTTCGGTTTCAGGGCGTAAATCTTTCCGGAGCCGACTTGCGAAAGCTAGACTTTCGCAACATCAACTTTAAGGTGGGTATTAATTAGCTGGTAGCTGACTTCTGTAATCTCCAACTTTGTCTCGCAGTACGCCAACATGTCCCACTGCAATCTGTCGCACACCAACCTTAACTACTGCTGCCTGGAGCGGGCGGATCTGCAGTTCGCCAACCTTGAGTGCGCGCAGCTGGTATCGGTGCGCGGGCTCTGCGCCAACATGGTAAATTCTGGTATCCCGCTCAAATAAAACATCTCTAACTACTCTTATCCACAAAATTCCAGGAAGGAGCTAACCTGAGGGGCTGCAATTTCGAGGATCCTACCGGCGTGCGGACCAACCTAGAAGGTGTTAATCTGAAAGGAGCCTGTCTTGAAAGCAGTAACATGGCGGGGGTGAACCTGCGAGTGGCCAACCTTAAGAACGCCAACATGAAGAACTGTAATTTGCGCGCCGCCGTGCTCGCCGGAGCCGATCTAGAACGATGCAATCTGTCCGGCAGCGATCTCCAGGAGGCCAATCTGCGCGGGGCGAACCTAAAGGACGCCGAGCTGACGCTCATGGTGACGCCGTTGCACATGTCGCAGGCCATTCGCTGAACGGCGCTTTTTCCATTCGCGGGGACAATACCATGTGCAATCACATATCACAGCTTAATTATACATTATTTGTAAAGACTGCGGTCTTAATTTAGTAAGTGTGTACATACGTGTTTTTTAACATAGCTCGTAAAATAAACAGTATTAGGATTGATATTCTGAAATTGTCAATTCGACTATAATTTGAATTCGATATTTGACGGCGCCTCGATTTGTCGATTTCCCGCCAACTAAATTTTTTTTTGGGATTTTCGGCACAAAGTAGAAGGTGCCATTAGATTTCCTGTCACTGTCAAGTTCCAGGAGTCGTTCATTTGCGTTCGATTCATCAGACGGGTTAGTTGTTCTCCCTTTACCAGTTTTTGGTTAATTTCTTTTAACAAAGTCCAAGACATTCAAGTGCGCGAAAGTGAAAAAATATCGATATCCGCCTACGCTGAAATCGCCGAACTCCCAAGCCGATTTCGCCGCGCTCGTTCACTGAAAACCACGGTTTACGAAGTGGTAAGGGAATTTTCTTTTTTAAAACTAGATCGTAATTAGGGACGAAAAAAGTTTCAGAAAACTTAGAGCGCACCCTTTCACCCATTGTAATCAAGTAATTAGAAATGTTGTCCCTTTACGTTGATAAACAAAGTTCTGTACCTCTTTTTTATATTATAATATAATTCGGATTGAGTCTATTATCCCGATGTCGCCATCATGTATATGTATATTGCCTAGCTATTGCTATACATTTCGTAAGCAAAAGTGACTCGTAAAATTTCTATTTTCCTTCGGACTCAATGAGGTTTTTGCGTTTTCCTTACGTCAGATCATTACGTTTTCTTCACGTCATTTACGTTTTCCTAATACTGATGTCCTAACCTATACATTTCTATGTATAATAATCGTATATAATATATAATGAAGGCTAGAGCTAGTAAGAAATATCATAAGCTTTCCTTTTTTCTAATATGCTAAATACAGCCTGAGCTAAGTTAACGGGCAACTGTGCTACTTTAAGAGGTGCCAAAACGAGGTGCCTTTTGCTCCTTTGCGGCGAATAAACCATTTAATAGTATTCTCCTTTGCGGCGAATAAATCAATTAATAGTATTCCAATATCTTATCATTTTGAATTAATTTTTAGTTAAATTTATAAAGTTTACAACAAACAACTGGCTTCTACTGTCAGTGTGACCATTTCGCGTCATTCTTCCATTTATCTTATGTTAGCACCAAGCTTTACCTTTTCTTAATCCGATTTCGATACCGATAGCCGATATATTTCCCATCTCTATGATACTAATCGAATGCGATATCGCCTCGTCCCCACCTCTAGGAAACGTGGTTTGTTGGAAGCACCCGAAAAAGTTTGACGTTGCTTTGAAATCTGTAATCTGTAAATTGTGTCAACCAGCGAGGAAAAAATTGTTGAGAAGAAAACTAGAAGACAGTTTGGTACACAGCTTATAAACGCGACAAACGATGGAAAATCAAAGCAACGCAGCTCCCGCTGCCGCCGCCGAGACCGCGGAGAATGGCGCAAACACCGCGCAGGAGGTGTCATCGACAAGTAAGTTTTTCTCGACGAGGGGGCAGTAGAGCAGAATCTTGCAAGAATTGCGCGAGTGTGCGAATGTTATCATAAATGTTCTGCGCCGCGTTCCGCGGTGCAACGCACTATTCGTACATATTTCGAATCGGGATCAAGGGCAAAATCGCAGCTGGCTAGCTTCGGGAATTCGGTTTCTCATTCCCCTTTGCATACGGACATTTAACGAAGTGTGAGTGCACAAATTTGTCAAAATTCCGCCATATTTTTTCCTAGTGGACTCTAGCTGTAAATAAGAGTTGTCAAAGTGCCGGAACTTCAAAGCAGCAAAGTAGTTGCGAAATGGCAATGGGGAAGGAAGAAAAAAGTACAGCTAAGTGGAAACTAAGACCAGCGGCAAGAACAACAACAACAACTGTGTGTATACATGCCCGCTTTTTCTTGTCGGTCGCCGATCCACGGTTGTGTTGTTGACATTAATTACGTCATCGAGGCATTCTTATGCTGAAAACGGCCAAGCCGACAGCAGCAATTACATAGCGGCCGCAAATAGTGCGATATGAATCATTTTCGGCGGCCATTTCGGTTGCTCTTGGCCGAATTTGAGTGATTTCGTGCTGGCTCTGTGTCATTCCTTGCACGGCGTTCTCTACGCCCCTCTCCCGCTGCTGCACACAAGCGCACACACACATCACACCACTCCACCTCCCATGCATACATATTTAATTGAGAAATTCGCGTTTTGATGCGCTCATCGCTGAGAAATGTTTTGTGCGTGTGTGCTTGTGCGAGTGTGAGTTCCGGAGCGTTGCCAACTTATTGGCCATGCGTTAATATCGAAATTCATATGGTTTTTAAGTGATTTTTATTCAGTTATTTCTCGAAAGTGCGCCCGCAATGAACGCTAGTTTTGTTGGTAATAGTAATTTTTGTTCGGATATGCACACAGACACACCTGGGTGATTTGCAGAATTCGCACAGGTGGCAACCCTGGCAACTGTTTTTCATTCAGATTTTTTTCTGTGATGACAGAGGCCCGGCGTTTGCAAGTGTTTGTTTAGGCTAAATTGTTGCTATCTGATAGCTAGGCGTGGAAACCGGTTTATCAGCCGCTGTATCACCTCTAGTCCGGCAAATAACTGGCGTGATAACACGGGTTCACTGCAGGCTCCGGCGATAAGAAGCGCTCGCTGCTGGTTCTGACACTGACGCTTTTGTGCCGGTCAGCAGATTCCATTTCCAGCTACCAGTACTAATGCCATCGCGCTTCTTGTCACCCCACAGCTCAACCCATAGAGCCCACAAAGCGCTCGCTGCGCGTGCAGACCTGGAAAAAGATCCAAGAGGGCAAGGTCGGCATTGGATTTCACAACATATTCAACCGGATTCCGGCGTTCCTCGATGCCGAAAAGGCTGCTTCACTCCTGGCCAACGAGGAGGAGTTCAAGAAAGCACGTAAGTGTCTCAAAAGGCGGTAGCATAGTGTCCGGTCTTGGTTCTTACCCCTTCCGTCCCGCAGAGCACATCAAGGTAAACATCGATCGCGCCTTGCATGACTTCAAGGAGCTGGCTCTGCTCGCCGACAAGTCGGTCTACTTGCCCAGCACTCGTGATTCTTCTGCGCTTTGCCTCAAGGTCGATGTGGCTGCAGATGCCACCGAGGAGCAGAAGAAGGAGGCTCTGCGCGTTCAGGACATCCAGAAGTTCCGTACGGAAATCGGATTGGACAGCGGCCTGAAGCTGGACATCGTTGTGATTGGTTCTGTAGTGGTGTCACGCGATGGCTACCGCATCGGCCGCGGCAATGGTTTTGCCGATCTGGACATCGGCCTGCTCATTGAGCTAGGTGCCATCACACCGCAGACAGTTATTGCCACGATAGTGCATGACCTGCAGGTGGTGGACTCGCTGCCCGTTGAACTGTTCCAGAAATACGATACGCCAGTGGACATTATTGTGACACCCACCGAGGTTATTCGTGTCGCCAAGCGTTTGCCGCGTCCCAATGGCGTCTTCTGGGAACTATTGTCTGAGCGTCGCCTGAAAATCTTGCCTGTTCTGCAGCAGCTTAAGGAACGCGAGGAGAAGTCGGGCAAGTCAATAGCCTTGAAAGAGGAGGACACCGACGTTGAGCAGCATCAGAACAACAGGCGCCGCCGTGGGCCCGTGCGTCGTCGCTTCCAACGAGGAAACCCAGGACGCACCACCTCGCAGACTGACAACGAACATCAGGGCGTGAGTGTAATATTCTCTAGGAAAGGGCTTGCGAGTTAACTCTTGACTTAATTACAGGAAGCCGCACAGAAACGCACGCCCCGCCGCAAGGGTCGTGTTGTCAATCGTCGCAGACGCCCAACAAAGGTTGGTAGCCTCAAAAGGAATACAAATACTGAGTTGTTAATTATGAAATATTGGTCCTTTGCAGTCTGAGGGCGAACAGTCTGGAGTGGAGGGAGGTGCGAAGAGTGAGGATCGTAAGTTTGATGAGAGTGCCGCTGGCGAGCGTCGTCCGAAGAAGAACAAGAACCGCGGACCGCGTGATTTCTGCATTAAATTGACAAATTTGACACGCGACATTCGCGTCAAGGACCTGAAGTCGGAGCTCCGCAAACGTGAATGCAATCCGATGTCGATTACATGGAAGGGTAAGGAAAACTAAACCGGGTTTCGAAGCATTTGCTAACTAATAGTATTTACTTGGTAGGTCACTTTGGCAAGTGCTTCTTGTACTTTGGAAATCGTAACGGTACGCCCAGCACCCAGGACGACGTTGATAAGGTGTTGAAGTCACTGAACGATCTCTCGCTAACCATCACCACCGGTGGCGAGTCGACCCCAGCTGCCGCCACTGCCGCCGGCACTGAGGGTGAAGTCGTCGTGAAAACTGAGCCGACCGAGTCTGCGGCGCCAGTGCAGACAAAGACGATCAACGTCAATGTCGAGTTGATCAAGTTTGGCGCTAAGAAGAATACCAACTCCACTGGTGTCAACGCCGAGGAGGCTGCCGGCGATGCGCACAACGGAGGTGAGGCCGATGCCGTTGGTGGCGGAGACGTGGGCGGTGGCGCACGCATCGAATCTGTGGACACAACCACAGTATAGTATGACTCCGCTTTTGGCGCAGCCACTGAACGGTTGCGGCGGATCTCCGCCGGCAGCGAAACGTTTGGAGTTCAACGAAAAAAAGTAACATTTTGTTTAGAGAAAATCGAAAAATATCAAACAAAAAATGAATAGAAAACGAACTCCGGACACAACAAACACACAAACAAAACTCACACTCAACATACAACATGCAACACTTCATAACATACAAACTAAACACATGCTCATACGTTTCAGCTTGTAGTTTCTTCTTCTCCTTCATTATTTCTAACAAGCTAAAAAGAGCAAAAGCAACTATTTCTAACGTGAACACACACAGACCATTGACGCTTTTTCAAAACAATTGCATTTGTTTTTGCCTGAGAAAAACAAAACGAGAGTTCGTTTTCATCTTAATTGAAATGATTGGAGAAATACTCGTTCCACAAACGCAGAGTGGAACATCATTTCTATCTAGAACATAAATAACACACTTTAACACTTAACTTTTCGCGGCTTTTCATAGTCCCAAGTGATGAGTTATTAGGGACCCCTTCCTAAATACTTCTCATTTTGATTTCACACCTACCTCGGCACCAAGATCCAGTGCACCGCCCCCTATCATGCAGTTGAGCTGCATCCGATAGCGCGGTCATCTCGGGTAGGGTTCGTGTAATATTCTTAAATTGTAATATTAGTCGCAAAAGCCCAAATAAATACGAAAAAGAATTGTGAATACGACAAAATGAATTAACACACTATTAACACGTTGCATTTTCGCTAAGAGAATTATAAAAAAAAGGATCGTAGTTTGGTTCGAGTTGCCCCATATTCACCGCAAACACCAATACACCCTTTAATAATTATATTTTAACAAGAGATCAACAGAACCATGAAATCAACAACAATTATACAATGCAGAACATAATTATTTACTCTTTTTATACAATGAAAAGGCATTACAAACAAAAAATGTGAAACATGAATGAAATATAACTTGAAATAAAAACTTCAAAAAATCGAAACCCTTGTGCGCAGTGCCATTGTTAAGTTTATTATTCATATTTCAACTAACGTCTAACAATATGTACAAAGATGCTTAGCTTAGGTCGTAGTTGTTGCTCAATTGAAATATCCTAAAGGATATCAAATTTTATTCAGTGTTCATATATATATCTATATATATACACGTACAAAGATGAAATTCAGCGGAGCTCGAAAAATAGGTTCTGGTTCTCTGTATGGATGGATGGGTGCATGGGCGGGGGATTTTGTGCACTCTGAAACCTGATGCGTGCCATGGCGCTCGCTCTTGGGTTTGAGATTATAACATTACTTCTGAATGGGGCTTGTGGCCTTGTCCAGCATGCTGCTCGCTTTCCTGGGACTAACCGTTAGGGAGGTTGCTCCGGCGGACTGTGGTGACGGTGTGCGATCTATGAACTCAATGCTGTCGCTTTTCGATTGGGATGCCATGGACGCTTCCGCTGCCACCTGAACAATGGAAGGGGCGGGCTTCTCCTGAATGGGCGCCAGGCTATTGACTATAGAGTTGGCCATGGCCAGCTCCAGTTCGCGCTGCCAGTCATTTTCCTTCTGCTCCATGGCCTTGCGCTTGAGCTCCTTGTAGCGGTTGTAGACGATGAATTCCTTGACCAGGGTAGTCTCAGGATCACTGTCGCGTTGCGCAGACCTCTGCTTGGCCAGACGCTTCTTCTTCTTGTGCAACGGTCTCGTCTCCACGATCATCTCCTCCAGCTCCAGACAGGGATCACAGTTAAGGTGGTCTTCGGGTGGCTTGAACAGTGGCTTTATCTTTTTATCGAGCACCTGCTGGAAGTCGATGTTGCGCAGCAGCGGCGTTTGATGCAGCTCCTGTTTTGTGCTGATCCTGGCCCCGGGATACGTCGAGAGTAACTGAAAGCGCAAAGGACACACGTGAATCCTCGGTAACTAGACTAATTTCATTGTCAAGTCAACCTTCTGCAGCAGATCGATAAATTGGCTGCTCCAGTAGCGGGGATAGTGCACGGGCGTGTTCAGTATGTTCTTGATTTCTGCCAACGGCGTGTTTGAGTGTACCACAAAGGGCCGGTTGTTGCACCGCATCTCATAAGCCACAACGCCGAGGGACCACCAGTCCACTGGATAGCTGTAACCGGCTATAACGAAATTGAGACAACAGTCAGGACACAGGAAGCAGTCAATTGCCCACATCCGAGACCCATCGCCCATCCGCCAGCAAAGCTCCATTTTGGTTTAATTTCGTTTCCTGCCGGCCAACTCACCCACTTCGTCCAGAGCGCATAGAAACACCTCGGGCGCCATATACGGCTTCGTCCCTGACATGCTGCAGGCCAGGGCATCCTTTTGCAACCTCGTTGCAATATTAAAATCAGTCAAGTGAGCGTGTCCTGAAATTAATTTGATGTTAGGGGATAGTGACGCATGAGTTTGGTTATTTTAATTGCATTTTGTTGTGGCGACCTTGCCGGAGCGAATAATTGCTTTTTACAAACAACTGATCAAATTAAACATCCTACACCCTAGGCAATAAAAATTGGAATACATTGAAGTAGGCTTAGAAAGCACTATGTAAGAACAGTTATAGTTAGTTGGTGGAATTGTATCTTGGCCAAATATATGAAGAGATCCCTAAACAGTAAAGCTTTAATTAAAAACTTGTACGACAAGTTGTTCCATGTACATTTCCCTAGGACATCCAATTTTGAATTTAAGTAAAAGCAGAACTATGGATAAAAGCAGACGAAATTTCTGTTTTTTACAATTCTCGAGTTGTGCAAATGAATTCCCCATCTTAGGCAATTCCATTAGCCCCTGTCCTTTGAGCTTGACAGGCATATCCTGTCTGGTTGATTCACAACGACGGGGCTGCTGGAAGGCAAATGAATAAATTGTGCTTAGGAGCTGTTCGGGAATACACCTGTGCACAGGAAATGGGCTCACGAAGTTGTGTACGACAACGAAATCAATAAATGGCAATGGGGCACTGAAATATTATTATGTGGCATGCTACGCCACCGAACGCCATTCGGCCCACTCGACAGCCTGCCAACTGGGAAGGCGTAGTTTACCTCCCAAACACTTACCAGCATCGTCCAATAGGATATTATCAGGCTTGATGTCCCTGTGGACCACTCTCTGCGTCTGCAGGTACTCCAGGGCACTGCCCAGCTCGCACACTAATAAGGCCACACTCTGCTCGGAGAACTCCACCTGAAAATCATTGGGAGATGGGGAAATCATAAAGGAGTACGCGGAGAAGTTATCGATGGTAGACTTACCCTGTTCTGTAAGTGATATCTTAAGTCGCCGCCAGTCAACAGGTCGCAGACCATGAATAAATCCTCCTCATCTGGGAAGGGAATGAGAGGTATGTATATAGATATATGTTTGAATGTACCGGTACCGGCATCAAAAGAAATGCACAGAGTTAATTTGCATTTTGATTGCCAATCAGCAACAGCATCAGACGGATAGAAAAGGTGAGAACGAAGGCGGGAGATGGCGAGCAACAGGAGTCGCACAAAGCTTCCACAGGTAGCTCTCTCGGCTTATTTGCATATATGTACACATCTGCATACCTTTAAGAATATAGCATACATTCATACAAGACGACACATGTGTACGCAAAACATTTGAGTGGACAAGGTTAGACAGGTAAAAGGTATCTCGATCTCTTGAGTTTATTAAATATTTAGATATTAAAAATATAAAACTATCTTGAAATATTTTTAAATTTCCTTACAGGAAGAAAGAAAACTTTTTTTATGTAAGGATCAAATCGTTTTGTATGAAAGATTTTTCAAGCCGTGGCAACGCTGCGTATGAGTGATTTAAGGTTCATCCCAATTGTATTAAAGGTACTGCGAGATTTTGGCTAGTCAATTTCTCTGTCGTGGTTTTGCGGCCACTTACCCTGGAACGAGAACCACAAATTGACGAGAAACGGATGCTCTAAGGAGGATAGCAGCTCCACCTCCTTGATGACCCCGCCAAGGGCTCCACGCAGTTCGCAGGCGGAACGACTGACATATTTCATGGCGTATAGGATGCCGCTGTCGCGCTTTTGGACGATGCAGACCTGATTGAAGAGCCACGTCGTTAATAGAGACTACTTCCGAATATGTTTTACATGAACCTACCTTGCCAAAGCTGCCCTTGCCTATGGCGCGCAGAATTTGAAAGTGGTCGAAATTGACTGAAAAGGTAAGAGAGTCGAGAGATGTTTACAGTTTCCCTAGTTTCCACTGAGCACCCACACAGCCGTGGTCGGTGTGGCTAGGATGGAGCAGCATATAGCCCATGGCGGGTGCATTGCCTGCCCATATGGACTTCGGGAGAATCTGCTGCAACTGATGGCGCTGACATGGACTCATGTAGAATGGCGGCAGGGGGTCCACTTGAAGAAGCCATAGACTGGGAAACCTCAAGCCTACTAGCGCCTCGAAGTGCTCTTTATCAAGATAGCTGACTTTCAACTCCTTTAGGCGCCGACTGGCACTTGTCAGGAGAAACTGAAAGTCGTCTACGTCCAGGGGCCTCTCCAGCAGGTTCAGCGTTATCCTTATCAGTCGGCGTCGCCAGATGATGCCCAGCAGTAGGCGGCAGCGCTCATAGCTTTGAAGCATGGCAATCTGGTCGGGAAGTTCCAGGAGCTCCAGGATTCGCAACAGGCTCAGATCGTCCAGCTGCTCCATATTCCCTCCCATCACGTCCTCGGCTTGTCTCGCCCCTGTCGTGTGTGTGTGTGTGTATGTGGAAACGTGATATGGAAATTTTTTACAGTTCCTATTGCCCCCACCCTCTCCCGGCTACTGCGTTGTTTTTGCGTTCGTCCCAGGCGGCAATTACCCAAACCCATATTGACATCCAGTTCCTGCTTCCACACATCGCCCACACTTACCGTCGTCGTCGGCGAGCAGACTCGCGTCGGATCTGCTCGATGTGTTGGCGCCCATGCTGCTACATCAATGGGTTGGACCGACCTCGTTCCACTGCTCCCGCTTGGGGCCTCCAGTTGTCCAGATGGCGTCCAATTGGTCTCTCTACCGGCGGTCTCTGCCCCAGGTGCTTGTGTTGATGTTTGCTCGTTGTCCCGACTGACAGCACAAGTACGTATACGTACTTCCTAGTGTTGTTACAAATTGGATTCACCTGAAACGAGGGGCTAAGTTGTAGATTGATTGGGCGGCAGAGATACGACACGGTAGAGCAACGACAAGTGATGCCCGGCAGGAAAAGGAGACAGCAATTGCCACAGAGTGGAAATTACTTTGTACAACACTGAGGTTTAAAGAATGTTAAAATAAATCCTCAAGGCTGTACATATCTTGTTATGTTTATGTTTGCTCCTCAAGCCTAATTCTTAAAACAAAACCTTTCGTTTTCATGGGAAATGTTCGCTCATCATATATCTAAAAGAAATATTGTTTTATTAAAAAACGGTATTTTAATACCCTTATCAGGTATTATGATATTAGTGCTATAAAAACTAACCCAGAAAAGCTTTTCGAATTAAAATTAATGTAATTTTGACTTAATTATGGTGTATGAAAAACTTTGATTTATAAAAAAAATTGTCTGTTTTTATACCTTTTTGCAGAGTATAGCTTCAGCCAGAAGATTAAAACGCAGTGAAGGAGTCATTTCCGACCCAGAGCCAAACAATTATTAATTTTAATTAGGAAAGCTGTTCTATGCTAGTTTTTAGTAGATTTACAAAGCTGCGTACTCAGTTTTTTATACCCTTGCAGGGTATTATAATTTCAGTCAGAAGTTTGCAACGCAGTGAAGGAGGCACCTCCGACTATATAAAGTATATATATTCTTGATCAGGATCAACAGCCGAGTCGATCTTAAATAATCTGAGTTTTTCAAACATCATAATTAAGCCAAGTTAGCATTAATTTTGATTCGGAAACCTTTTCTGTGCAAGTTTTTAAAGCACCAACAAATCTGCATACTGCGTTTGTTGATGCTGTTATAGGTTTCTGACTAAAATTATAAAAACCCGCAAAAAGGTATAAAAACGGACCATTTTTCCGAAAAATCATAGTTTAAAAAAACTCATAACTAAGCCAAACAATCATTAATTTTAATTAGGAAAGCTGTTCTATGCTAGTTTTTAGTAGATTAACAAAGCTGCGTACTCAGTTTTCAAATTTAAAAAATTCAATTTTTTGTCAAATTTTGGCAATTTTAATGATGTAACCCCTTATCAAATTTTCAATTTTTGGAAAAATGTCAAAAATTTATTTTTCGACCGGACATGGCTAGAACGACTGGGCTTTTGATGCTGATCAAGAATATATATGGTTTATAGGGTCGGAAATGACTCTTTCACTGCGTTTTAATCTTCTGACTGAAGCTATACTCTGCAAAAAGGTATAAAAACAGACAATATTCTTAAATAATCTGTGTTTTCCAAACATCATAATTAAGCCAAATTAGCATTAATTTTGATTCGGACACCTTTTCTGTGCAAGTTTTTAAGGCACCAACAAATCTGCATACTGCGGTTGTTGATGCTGTTATAGGTTTCTGACTAAAATTATAAAAACCCGCAAAAAGGTATAAAAACGGACCATTTTTCCGAAAAATCATAGTTTAAAAAAACTCATAACTAAGCCAAACAATCATTAATTTTAATTAGGAAAGCTGTTCTATGCTAGTTTTTAGTAGATTAACAAAGCTGCGTACTCAGTTTTCAAATTTAAAAAATTCAATTTTTTGTCAAATTTTACCAATTTTAATGATGTAACCCCTTATCAAATTTTCAATTTTCGGAAAAATGCCAAAAAATCATTTTTCGACCGGACATGGCTAGAACGACTGGGCTGTTGATGCTGATCAAGAATATATATGGTTTATAGGGTCGGAAATGACTCTTTCACTGCATTTTAATCTTCTGACTGAAGCTATACTCTGCAAAAAGGTATAAAAACAGACAATTTTCTTAAATAATCTGAGTTTTCCAAACATCATAATTAAGCCAAATTAGCATTAATTTTGATTCGGAAACCTTTTCTGTGCAAGTTTTTAAAGCACCAACAAATCTGCATACTGCGTTTGTTGATGCTGTAATAGGTTTCTGACTAAAATTATAAAAACCCGCAAAAAGGTATAAAAACGGACCATTTTTCCGAAAAATCATAGTTTAAAAAAACTCATAACTAAGCCAAACAATCATTAATTTTAAATAGGAAAGCTGTTCTATGCTAGTTTTTAGTAGATTAACAAAGCTGCGTACTCAGTTTTCAAATTTAAAAAATTCAATTTATTGTCAAATTTTGGCAATTTTAATGATGTAACCCCTTATCAAATTTTCAATTTTCGGAAAAATGTCAAAAATTTATTTTTCGACCGGACATGGCAAGAACGACTGGGCTGTTGATGCTGATCAAGAATATATATGGTTTATAGGGTCGGAAATGACTCCTTCACTGCGTTTTAATCTTCTGACTGAAGCTATACTCTGCAAAAAGGTATAAAAACAGACAATTTTCTTAAATAATCTGAGTTTTCCAAACATCATAATTAAGCCAACTTAGCATTAATTTTGATTCGGAAACCTTTTCTGTGCAAGTTTTTAAAGCACCAACAAATCTGCATACTGCGTTTGTTGATGCTGTTATAGGTTTCTGACTAAAATTATAAAAACCCGCAAAAAGGTATAAAAACGGACCATTTTTCCGAAAAATCATAGTTTAAAAAAACTCATAACTAAGCCAAACAATCATTAATTTTAATTAGGAAAGCTGTTCTATGCTAGTTTTTAGTAGATTAACAAAGCTGCGTACTCAGTTTTCAAATTTAAAAAATTCAATTTTTTGTCAAATTTTGGCAATTTTAGTGATGTAACCCCTTATCAAATTTTCAATTTTCGGAAAAATGTCAAAAATTTATTTTTCGACCGGACATGGCAAGAACGACTGGGCTGTTGATGCTGATCAAGAATATATATGGTTTATAGGGTCGGAAATGACTCCTTCACTGCGTTTTAATCTTCTGACTGAAGCTATACTCTGCAAAAAGGTATAAAAACAGACAATTTTCTTAAATAATCTGAGTTTTCCAAACATCATAATTAAGCCAAATTAGCATTAATTTTGATTCGGAAACCTTTTCTGTGCAAGTTTTTAAAGCACCAACAAATCTGCATACTGCGTTTGTTGATGCTGTTATAGGTTTCTGACTAAAATTATAAAAACCCGCAAAAAGGTATAAAAACGGACCATTTTTCCGAAAAATCATAATTAAAAAAATCTCATAACTAAGCCAAACAATCATTAATTTTAATTAGGAAAGCTGTTCTATGCTAGTTTTTAGTAGATTAACAAAGCTGCGTACTCAGTTTTCAAATTTAAAAAATTCAATTTTTTGTCAAATTTTGGCAATTTTAATGATGTAACCCCTTATCAAATTTTCAATTTTCGGAAAAATGTCAAAAATTTATTTTTCGACCGGACATGGCAAGAACGACTGGGCTGTTGATGCTGATCAAGAATATATATGGTTTATAGGGTCGGAAATGACTCTTTCACTGCGTTTTAATCTTCTGACTGAAGCTATACTCTGCAAAAAGGTATAAAAACAGACAATTTTCTTAAATAATCTGTGTTTTCCAAACATCATAATAAAGCCAAGTTAGCATTAATTTTGATTCGGAAACCTTTTCTGTGCAAGTTTTTAAAGCACTAAAAAATCTTTATATTGCGTTTGTTGATGTACGAATCAAAATTAATGCTAATTTGGCTTAATTATGATGTTTGGAAAACTCAGATTATTTAAGAAAATTGTCTGTTTTTATACCTTTTTGCAGAGTATAGCTTCAGTCAGAAGATTAAAACGCAGTGAAGGAGTCATTTCCGACCCTATAAACCATATATATTCTTGATCAGCATCAACAGCCCAGTCGTTCTTGCCATGTCCGGTCGAAAAATAAATTTTTGACATTTTTCCGAAAATTGAAAATTTGATAAGGGGTTACATCATTAAAATTGCCAAAATTTGACAAAAAATTGAATTTTTTAAATTTGAAAACTGAGTACGCAGCTTTTTTAATCTACTAAAACTAGCATAGAACAGCTTTCCTAATTAAAATTAATGATTGTTTGGCTTAGTTATGAGATTTTTTTAATTATGATTTTTCGGAAAAATGGTCCGTTTTTATACCTTTTTGCGGGTTTTTATAATTTTAGTCAGAAACCTATAACAGCATCAACAAACGCAGTATGCAGATTTGTTGGTGCTTTAAAAACTTGCACAGAAAAGGTTTCCGAATCAAATTAATGCTAATTTGGCTTAATTATGATGTTTGGAAAACTCAGATTATTTAAGAAAATTGTCTGTTTTTATACCTTTTTGCAGAGTATAGCTTCAGTCAGAAGATTAAAACGCAGTGAAGGAGTCATTTCCGACCCTATAAACCATATATATTCTTGATCAGCATCAACAGCCAGTCGTTCTTGCCATGTCCGGTCGAAAAATAAATTTTTGACATTTTTCCAAAATTTAAAATTTGATAAGGGGTTACATCATTAAAATTGCCAAAATTTGACAAAAAATTGAATTTTTAAATTTGAAAACTGAGTACGCAGCTTTGTTAATCTACTAAAAACTAGCATAGAACAGCTTTCCTAATTAAAATTAATGATTGTTTGGCTTAGTTATGAGATTTTTTTAATTATGATTTTTCGGAAAAATGGTCCGTTTTTATACCTTTTTGCGGTTTTTATAATTTTAGTCAGAAACCTATAACAGCATCAACAAACGCAGTATGCAGATTTGTTGGTGCTTTAAAAACTTGCACAGAAAAGGTTTC